ATGGTAAAGAAAAAGTGACAGAGCTGGGCAGTGAAGAGCCCCAGTGTTTGAAGCGAACGGTGAGTTCCAGGAGTCATGCATTCTCATTCTCCTAGGCTTAGGTCGTTTTTGCAGGTGTTTTGGTTACAGGACACCGAGAGGGTCGGGGAGACCCAGCTCTATCTTCCGCAAACGCAGTCCTGTTTGGGGACGTGGGGGTGGTAACTGGGTTAGCTCTGCCGCGGCTGCGCAGTACGTCACCATTCCGCCCCGCCCTCCTCTTCAATTGAGCAGACCAGTGACCTCTGGTGGCCGTATGCTGCAGTAACTACTCCCTTTGCAAGAGCTGGTGCTGAAAAGAGCTCTGAGGACCTTGGGGTTTAAGAATGCGTTCTAAGCCACAGGTACGCATGTAAGCCTTTGATGGACAGAGGGACCTGACTCTTCACCTGTTCAGTCGGCTGCTAGCCACTCGTGCACGACTTCAGCGGCTCCTGTGGCTTCTGGGTCTTTGGTCCCTCAACTACAAGACAGGAGGGTTAAAGCAAGTTCTCTCTAGTTTTAATATCTAGGATTCAAAAGGGCCTGGAATAGAAGTCAGAGGTTCTTGAACCCTCAAAGGTTAAGTTAAGGAAGAGGTGGCAGCCGAGGGTACCTGGAGCCAGTAGCTTTCACAGGGCCAAAAGCAGGGAGGTCCATTTTGGATTTGATAATCAGAACTTGGGTCCCCCACCTTTGGTTGCAATCAGGAAGCAGGGGCTCTACAGGGCTGTTGTAATTTAGGGATTGCAAGGAAAGCAAGATAACACAAGACATATAATTTATAGTATTTGTAATAGTCACCCAAGAGTCAAATACATGAAATACAGGAAATCTGTCCACATGCTAAAACCCCAGGAAATCCAGTCAAGGGTCTGGATCCCACAGCAATGTCCTGCATGAGTCCAGCTGAAGACCGAAAGCCCATGACAGTGCTTGCTCACGAGCAGGGAAAGGAAAGTTTGGGAAGAGCCCATGGGGCTTAGCACTAAGGTTTTCAATCTGGGATGCCTTTCACAGCACAGCACCTCGGTTCCCTTGGATAAGGGAATCTGTTTCTAGATCAGGGTAGCCCTGACCTTGATCTGTCTGCTCCATTTTTATCTCCTGCCAGTGCTCCTTTCCATCTCTTAGCTCATAAATGCTCTTCCTTTTCTAATTAAAAAAAAAGTATTTCTCTTACCAGGTTATAAATTTGGCAAGTTGTAAAAATTTCTGAAGCTCTAGACAAGCAGGCAAACTAAAAATTAGTGTTGTAAGATCTTCTAAAATAAAGACACCATAAAAAGCCCTCTACCTGCCAACCGTCTTATGTGGGACATTGTCAACTTAAATTTTTATAATTGATTATTTATCAAAAATGACCACATAGCTGTACAGTGCTAAGTTAATGATGATGGTAAGCATAACAAAATGGAGATTTCTGCAGAGAATTTAACCATAGGAAATGTAGCTTCAGTTCACAGACGGTTTTATTATAGGAAAACATAAGATGGCCAAAAAAATACTCATGAAATCATTGCGTCAGGATAAAACTCTGTGAAGGAAGTAAAATGAAGGGTTTCACTGAGGAAAGGGAGCCATGTGTTTAAAATCGCTTGTTCTCATGTGCTTTCAGCGGGAACCTGGAAGGTACCAAATAGCTATGGTATTTATTTTCTAATGGGTGTATGTTTTATAATAATTTTGCAGTTTTATTTTAAAATACCATATAGTGGTACAGAAATGTACAGTCTTGCAATTACCTAAATTTATGGCTAAGAGCTTGTAGAGGGCAACTTTAACATATACAAGAGAGTTCTCCATGTTCAAATGTTATTTTAAGGGCCATTGGCATGAGATGTCAGATGAGAACAGAGGAAGACAGGGTGTCCCTTGTTTGTGGGGCTTTATGGACTCTTTAGGCATTGCTAGGTGCATCTCTACCAGCGTCAGTTGGCTCCAGCCCTCTCACATGCTTTTAGCTCCAGAGCTTGATTTCAAGGGAAGGAGCCCGAATAGCCTGGGTTGCTTACTACTTACTACTAGGGTGCTTACTACTCAGAAGCAGATGAAGGACACCATATCTGAAAGTTGTGCTAAGATCACTTGAAATGTGGAGGGTACAGTTCCCTGAAAACAATGCAAACAGCAATGGCCTGCTGCAGACAAGTTCCAGGAGAAGCTCCTGAGAATGAAGGAATAAATGATGGCTGGAGCATTCCAAAACAGGACCTGAGTTCAAGCAGAATTAGACAGAGTGGTCTTTTTGTGTGTAGCAGGAACTAGGAGGGGAAACTAGATGAAGATGCTGCAGTGTTTTCAAGGTGGGATGCAAGAGCCAAAAAAGAGGTTCAATGCATAGAACATCCGCTCACGGCGAGGGGCAGGGACATCAGGACTTTGGGCTCCTGGATTGTATTTTCTCATTCATCGACTTCTGCTTTTCAGGACTTTGTGTTAACAGTCTGGTACTCTTAGCACATGATATATGCCTATAACCCATGTAACTACCTCTCGTGGCCTTTTCTCCCCTCAGACTGTTTCCCCTCTGGTTTGCACAGCCTTTTGTATGTACCTCTCTTCTACGGTTTTAACTGTAATAATGACCCAGCTATTGGGAAAAGTATACTGCGGATGAATGGGGATGGTTAAGTCCTACGTATTCTTAACGACTGAGGCTTTCATACTAGTGCTCCAGAGTCTTTCCATACCAGACTGAAGTCTGTTTGGATTAGGGTTTCAAGTGCGTTTGTTAAGGTTTTTGTACAGGAGGCATCTCAATCCATTTATGTGTTGTTCTAACATAACACTACAGGCAGAGTAATTTATAAAGAGATTCATTCCAATTTCTGAAGGCTGGCAAGTCCAAGATTGAGGGCTGCGGCTGATGTATCTTTTTGCCCCATCAAAACATGGAGGAAAGCATCAAATAGCAAGATACAGCAAGTCTCGTCAGGTCCCTTTGTCCTTTCTGTAAAACCACTAATGCCACTGTGTCCCCACTCTGCATAATTTCATTTCATCCTAACTAGCCCCCCAAAACTCTATATCCAAATATCATTAATACATAAATTTGAGGAATAAGTTCCCAACACATGAACTTTGGGGGGGACATTCAAACCATAGCATCCAGTAAGTTAAGTTCCCTTTTTAGCATGTTCCCTGAAGTAGTGCTGCTGGTGGCCCTCTGTATGAGGAACTGGAATGCTTCCAGGTGGTGGCACCCACGGTCCCCTGCGGGTAACCCAGATCTGTACACCCAAATTGCTTTCTGCCTGTCTCACAAGCATCCACACACACCCTCAGTCCTGGGCTCTGAAGAAATGTGTAGTTTGCCATGAGAGGCTTCTCACAGCCAAGGGTAAAGAAAGTTCCAATTGTAAGAACTCCAAAATGAGGTGCACAGTTAAAAAACCACTAGCAAATGACTACCTCCTCTTTTATACTTTCCCTAATCAAATGTTATTTTTTAGAACATCCTATTAAATACAACACAGGTCTCCACCTATGAGAGGGAGAGAACACCAGGTGGTCAGGGTTTCTTAGGAATGCTAAGAAAAATGTCTCTTCTTTAAATTGAACTATTAAATTGTATGAGTCAACACAAGATAAACTTAAGCTGAGGTTTATGAGTGGCTCTTAACACTCGGGGCGAACCTTTACTCTAACACATAAAATATTCCCATTTGCAAAATGAGTTTGGGATGTGCAGACAACCCAATGATGAAACCTATCCCAGCAGTTCCCTTTAATGAAATCCACCAGTGCTTTTAAAATATTATTTCAAAATTTAGAACACACAAAACAGCCATTCCACATAATATATATGTATAAAGCTTTTCAGAAGTTTTTTATAACAGCAAAAAGTTGTGTTCATTAAGTTAGACAAATTACTTGCATAATAGAATACTACCCAGCCTTTAAGAGAATACAGGGGTGTTAACATGGAAGGATTTCCAAAATATTTTATCAAATCAGCTGAGCTACCGCTTCTGTGACCGGCGCAGCTCCCCAATGAGACAGGAAACACTTCAGGTGGGTAACAGGAACTGCCAACTTTATTGTTGTGGGTTCTGGCTTATATATCTGACTGTAGCCAATCAGGCTGCCACGAGGAGGAAGGGCTGGAATGAGACGCGGGCTCTGGCTAATATACTCAGCTGTGGTGAATACGAAGTGAGCATGGGGTGGCTAATTTGGAGAGGGACGTAGCGCATTGCGGAAGCTGGCGTGGTCCTTAGTCCCGGGTGGGGTATGGTATGTTGAGCACCTGCGCCCAACACTTCTGTATGGAAAAATATGTACATGATTAATTTGTAAATATGTATGAACATTTCTAAGAACTAGATACATGCTATTATGCTAGCTGCCCATAGAGACAGGAACAAGGTAGTTCACACAGAGGAAAGGTGGACATTTTGTCCCAAGTGAACATAGTAATATTTTAATGACAGCCCTCACCGCAATGAAAATGTCTCCTTGAGGACTGGAGCTGTAGCTCGGTGGGAAAGCACTTGCCTAGCAAGCGCAAGGACCTGGATTTGATCCCTGGAATAACCAAAAAGAGTCTGTGTCACTTGTGGTATACCAACAAGGAAAACACATTTCTGTCGAGTTGAATTTCTAAAAATCCTAACTTGCATTTTTCGTTTTCTGTCTTAGTCGAACACTTGAGTTGGGCAAATTAACCACCTAGGTGGCCTCACAGTCTTCATTTGAAAAAGATGGCTTGGAGAAGAGATGACTTTCACAAATCCTGGTGGTCTGAGATGCTGTGATTATATGACTCAGCCATACATACGGAGGGGAAAAACACAACAAATTGGCGAGGAGAATCTCGGTGCTTGTTAGATGGTGTGTTGTGCGGATACAGCTAACATAACTATATACAACTATAATTTCACAGTATATTTTATTTCTTAATAACACATTTTACTTTCCCCTTCACTTCTATTCCTCCATCTCTGAAATACCTAAGAAACGGCCAAAGAAAACACATGTGAGCTGAAGAAATTTATTTACTTTTTTTCTAGGTACATAGATGACATAATTATAGACAAGTTTTGATACATAGGAAAATCCTTCTGTCCACCTTTCCTTTTACTAAATGAATCATCACGATAATTTTTACAGTTTTTAAAACAATACACAGCTTTCTTGGGCTGAAGCAATTGCAAGAACATATTGGTACTGGTATATTACAGCTACTTACAATGTTTAAGAACAGCAATGGAGAAAAATAAGTTATTTAAATATTGATTTCATATACAGAAAGTGCAATGTTGTTAGTTGTTATATAACTTGCTTGACAGTCTTCTCAATTTAAAATCAAGATACCTTGGACTCAGACGATTATATTTTTTCTGAACATAATATAGTACGCACATGCAGGAGTGACTTGGTGAGTTGACCTCTCTCACTGCAGTTATGAAAGCAAACTTTGCTATGTCAAGGACTGATTTCTACTAGACAAATCATTTCTAATTTCAACTACAACTGGGGTCAGGACAGAGAAAAGCGCCTCTGAGTAAGGCAAGGCTGTGAAAAGCTATTTGCTTTCAGTTATTTGGGAATGTAAGTATGGTTGGGACTGGCTGCGTTTCCTTCCAGACAGCTGTGACGTTACAAATTACACACAATGCCACGTATACCTACCTGAGCCAAACTGCCTTTCTGGGTTTCTTTTGTGCTTTCCAAAGACAATTATTCTTATCATTACTTAATTTCTGTATCAAATGCAACTGATAACAACTGGATATTGCTAAAATCTCCTACCTCCAACAACATAGGCAGCCCCAAAGCACCTCAATCAACTGTCACACATTCAGGCTTTTCTTAGACCAAATTAAAAATTTAAAACAGAAGAAGACCAAACAAACACTAGAGATGGGGGAAAAAAATCCAAATTAAAAAAAAAAAAAAAAGTAAAAACAACCTAGCCCCCTCAAGTCAGACATTCATGCTAAAAAGTACCTGTGGTCCCTGAATTTAATTTTTCATGCAAAGGCAATCATTTCCAAAGAGTGATAAAAATATGGTTTGACATTCTCAGAATCTCTGGTGCTAGTTTTACTTCAGTGAAAGTTCTAGGCTGAGAACCAATTAAAACTGGGAAACCGCCACGTGATTTCTGCTTCTCCTTTGTGGCCTCTAACGTGACCTTCGCGTGGTCTTTCGGCTCAGCTGAAGCGAGGAGCGGACTCTGCAGAACGCCAAGCCAAGGCATTTCAAAAGCAAGAAGAGAAGCCTGTCGTTCGGCTCCACCTTCACCACAAATGACATCAAGGGAATGCTGTAGCTGTCCGAGGACCTGCAGCCCTGCCACCTGCCCCATGGGCTCTGCCACAACCCAAGAGTACAAACACTGCTGTAACTTTTAAGAATTCCATAGAAACCTGGCAGCTCTGCCTTTTTATTCAGCATTGCCACTTTTTGTCTTGTTTTTCAGGAATCAAACTCACGACCTCACGCTTGCCAAGCAGGCGCTATGCTGCCGACCTAGATCCCTGGCCCTTCCATGACTTCCGCACATGGCATCTTGTAGAAGGTAAAATTATGAAAGAAACACACATTACTTTTAAAGATGCATACCAATGCAGGAAAAAAAATACATCACCTGAGAATGTCCTCTTCCTCAGAGAAATGGATCTAGATATATAAAGCATGTAAAGATGGCTTTGTAATTAATGAAACCACTTCTCCCACTTCCCTGAGGGAAATCATTTAATACTAGATGAAACATTAGAGAACTTTTGAGCAAGGTCTTATGTTCAAAATGCTTCTATTGTAAATGATAAGATTTAATGCTTCAAATAGTGTTCATAATTAAGAATGTGACGGAAAAATCATTTTGTAAGCAACGGAACCTTATATTTTCTAAATTTGCCATTTCCTAGAAAATGAGATACGAGAGTAAAAGAGGATATAATATGCTGAAATCAGTTGGAAAGCAACTGAAAATATGCAATATTTAACACATCACTAGTGTGGTTTGGCTCCCTAATGAACCTGTTTGAACAAAAAGAATTATCTAAATAAGAAAAAAAAGGTAACGATAATTATAAAATGAAAAAAAATTTAAAATATATACTACTTCCCTTTTTAGAAATAGCTTTCTGAAAGATTTAACCTTACAATGACTTTCTGCAAGCGCAATCTCTTCTTAGCTGATGACTGAAGTCTGCAATGGACGTGGTCGATTCCAAGTCAATACTGCAACAGTGACCGATGTGGCACAATACTGAACTGATTGAAATGAAAGGCAGTTACTACCCTCCCACACCCACACCCACACCCACACCCACACAGATATCTTTGTCAGTTTCAGATAGCTTTTAACTAGGCTGTAGTTAGTTCAAACACTGAAAGCCAAGATGAAAGCGTGCCTGATAATCACCCCTACAAAATAAGCCATGTTACGATGAGACAATTAGAAAAGCCCATTTTGCTGAAAACATCCCAGATGTCACATGGCAGTCTTAGCCTGAAGATCTGGAATGAGGGTTACAGGGTTGTGGACACTAGTTACAGATAACTGCTTGAAAGCTGATATTAAGGCAAATAAAAGCTGATTGCTAGAAAGCAATTATTTAAAAGTCTCTTGTTTATCTAAAGGAGAACAGGACTTTGTTTTTCCCGGTGCAGCCAGATGCTCTAACTTCTGAACAAGTGAGCACAGTCAATAGTACATAATAACTTCCGAGTCTGTTACTTTGGCCTAGCTACGCCTGTCTGGCTCAGGCATCCTGCAGGGTGACCAACACAAGGGCAAGGGCACAAGCACAAACAACGGGGTGCTCTGCTCTCTCCTCTCTCACGCTCTGGGAGCCTTTCTTCTGGTTCCAGCCAGCCTGTCCAGGATGAACGAATTGCATCAGCTTCATGAGCACAGGGAAAGGCTGGCTCTGGTCCAGGGCAGTCCATGTTGGGCCCGGCTACATAGTCTCAGGGTTAGGTGGCAGTTTGAAGAGTCTGGCTGCAGACACGAGCTTCCTGATGTGTCGCTCCTCTGTGATGCCGGCCTCTTGAAGGCAAGTGTGGGACAGAGAAGGCACTTGGCTCAGTGTGCTGAACCCTGCGTCAGAGAGGTTGCTGGTGTACATGGGCAAGCCAATGGAGATGAGCCAATCCGACACGGATGTGATGCAGCCAGGAGACAGGGGCTTCCTACAGATTTCGGTGAGCCCACCACTTGGGATCTGGATAAACACAGAAAGCAGAATTTAAAGACTCTACCTGTGCTACCGGAGAGCTACTTATGAGTGTGCGCTCACACGCTACAGGACTGAAACACAACACTACTGTATTATAACCAGGAAGTGATAGTCCTGTCACAGTCAAAAATCAAGACGAGAAGAAAGAGTTTGTCTCTAAAATGAAGCAAAGTGCTCTAGCAGGCACCTGGAATCAGAGCAATCCCAATTCATGTTCCAAACCATAAGCATTTATATATCCTATTTTTGTTTCACTGTGCTACATTCATCAATAAGAGATCTCCAAGGATTTACAGAGACAAACCTTGTGACAGTATGAAAGGGATATACAGTGGCTGGGATTTTCTAAAGTAGATTTTTCTACTGTATTTTCACCTTTGGTAAAAACCAGAAAACTGAGTATTTAATCAATATAGTTATAAAGAATCTGAAACACAATTATATCAAGTATTGGCTAACACAGGGAAGTGGACATTTAAATTTGACTACTGGGAGCTAGGCAGAGTAGCACAAATTCTGGCACCCTGGAAGGCTGAGACAGGAAGACTGCAAGTTCAAGCCCAGCCTGGGAAACTTAAAAAGATTTAGCCAGACTTTGTCTCTAAATTTAAAAAATCAAAAAAGGGCTGGGAGTGTAGCTCAGTGTGAAAGTCGTAGGTCCATGAAAACATTCTTTTGATTACTGGGTAACATCTTTCAAGAAGGTGATTACATAACATGTATGAAAATCCTTGAGACTTTGTGCAGCATTGATGAAATGAAACCTTTTCAGAAAATACATCCTTAGAAATTACCTTGGGGGTGCACAATGATTGACTAACAAAGCTATTCCTTACTATATATTTAATATGAAAATCATGAATGTTTCAACAGTGTGGGGTTGGCTAAGCCATAGAATATTTATTCTTATTCACTAGAACACTGAAAACTTGCTAATACCAAAGAACTCCTGATCTGACAATTGAGAACAAGTTTCAAAACTGTGTGTTTACTGTTATACTTATGCACAGAGATGGTTAGGTTTTTACATACTGAGAAGAATTGTACACACTGAGGTATATAATGTTTCTATAAATGTAAACAATTGTGGAGTAGGTAAATCAAGCTATTTAACATGTGCATTACCCCACTTATGTTCGTTTATGGTGAAAATAGTTAAAATCTATTGCCTTAGCAATTTTCAAGTACTCAATATATTGTTATTAACAGTAGCAATCATGCAGTATAACAGATCTTTTGAATTTATCCTGCCTATCTGAAAAATTGGGGGCCCTTAGTTAGAAATTTTTAGAGACTTTCATGGTACTAGGATTGTGATAGTTTTCATTTCCATCTAAAATTGTATTTTAAAATAGCATCTAGGTACTGAGGGTATCCTGAGAACGACTGCTCAGGTGCTAGGGGCCCTGGGTTCAATCCCCAGCACCGCAACACAAACCAAATTCAACCAACTCGAGGCTAACAGTATGCTGCTCTCTCTCTCCAGGCATCTCTCCCTTCAGGGCCAAAAGCAGCCCTTCCCTACTGAGCACCTGGTCACTGCTTATCACCTGCACTGTCACTAAATGCACCACAAAAAAATCTAAGCGAGGGCACAAGTGCAGACTGCTCACCGCCATTCGGTGCTGCTTTCGAAGCAGTTTCACCCGGATCTGGTCCATGTTGGTGGCAACATCCTTCTCGGGCTGATCTAGGTCCTCCGCATATCTCTGCACCAGGGCTTCAGGGATCCCACAGCGGCCATGCTGTGGGGAGAAACAGATACGGGGTATAAAGGGAGCATGGAATTTTTTTTTCCTTTTTCTAAAGTACAGTAAATGTAAGCTAGGAGATAAGACATATAGTAACAATAAAACACATCAAAATTTTAAATTTGAGAGGAATACATATGCTTTACAATGAGAATGGATGATTTCAAGGGAATACATTTATGTCTTTATGGTCCAAATATTGCAGAGGTCTAGGATTAACTTCTGAAATGTATTGAAGGCAGAAAATTATCATCCTGTGTTTTTCAGGCCAACACCTACATCTCACTCAACCTGAACATTCTGCAAAATCCAATTCATCTGCTGTTGCTGAGGTCAGTTTCCTACACTCCGGGACAAACTTCTCCTCTAAAGATATTCCACTGTTTGCCTTTTATTTGTGAGACTGTACTGCCTCATCCGCGGGCCACATCTCCTTACTACTCTCCCCACTTTCACTTCAAAGAAGCTTGCTCATGAAATATCAAGGAGCCAGAAGAAAAGAAGGAAGGGGATGTTACCATGGGCATTCATGCTCATAAAAGGACTTCCAGGAATGCATCACAGGGGCACATGTGGTTCCAACCAGCTGTTATTACTGATTTGTCTGCAAAGTCTCTTTGGTACTGGTAGGTCTTTTTTATCTTTTTCATCAAATGAGAAATGATTTTTCAATACAGATCTAAATTTTTTGATACAATGGGAGGTTTTACATTGTCATTTCTTCCCTATTATCTATGGATAATTGTACAGTATAAGCACTGTCTCACATCTGAACAGGGTCCTGCAATTTTCAAAGTATGACCCTCCCCAGCAATCCACCAATGGTACTTTAGGGAGGTCATATGTAAGCTCAGCTGGTCTACAGGGAAAAGCAGTGGGGAGACATTTATGCTTCAATACACATGTTAAGTCAGACATGGATACTCAGACTTGGGTTTCTCTCTCCCACTAACGCATGCCTTTGGAAATAGTTCTGGTTCTGATCACCGCTCCCCACCTCAAGGTACAGCTGCCAAAAATTAAAAGCAAACAATCAAGAGATAAGAAAACTGTGAGGTGTGTTCACATGTAACCGGGGCCTGTAGTCCCTGGTCATCAGTGGACTGAGTCCAACAGGAAGAAGCCACTAGCAGCGGGTCACCGCACTTTCAGAACGGCCTACTCCAGGGCAGTTATGTGGGGATTTCATGTCCCCTGGATACCTAATAGGAAAAAAAAAAAAAGATTATGGGGGTTGCGGAACCCCAGGCCTCTGCTACCTTATCAGAGTACGGCTCTTCAGTGAGGTCAATGCCTTCGGCATGTAGCTTGGCTTCAGTGAGCAGCTCCAGGTCCACTCCCCGGTTGCAGGACACCTTCCTGCTCAGCGCTGGGCCCAGCTTCACACCATGCTCCTGCAGGCTAGCACTCTCGGGTAGCTCCGAGAGCCACGGTGGAGGCCTGCTGCAAGACGGGCTGCCAGGCTCCTGCCCTGGGGGAGACCTGGACGCCTGTGCTGAGGGACAATCAGCATGGCTGGCCTTCTTCACTGGCAAGCATGGGGCATCTGGGCTGGGAAGGGTCCCCCCGGGGCCCACGGGAACAAGGTGGAGCCCGTTGGCAAGGCGTTCTCTGCTCTTTTTGGCAGGAACAGGTGGAGGCTGTGAAGGGTGTTTTGCGGGTGTCCTTGCCTCAGGGACTCTCTGCTCTGTATCTACCCCTTCTTTTACGCCTGGGGGATGGTGGGATCCTTCAAGATCATGTCCTTTCCTGTGACCCTCCAGAGACGTCCTTGTTAAACTGTGCCTGATTCCAGGAGGCTGAGCCTCATAGTTTCTGGGCAAACACTGAGGAGGTGAAGCACCGCAGGGAGAGGCTGCTGGGGGGCCTTCAGCCTTCCTGGGCATCATCTTCTGAGAGTCAGGGCATCTCTGGCTTTGGGTCAGTAGCGAGGCATTGTTGGCAGCAGAATCTCGCCCTGGAGCTTGGACCTTTGCAGTGGGGGCGGACGTCTTTTGGGGCACTTCCGGTACAATCTGAGGAGAGGTTTCTGTCACCTCGGTAGGCACATCTTTTCCAGCATCAGGCTGGCCTTGGAGGTCATCCAGGGAATGGGATCGGGGCCATGCTTTCACAGTCTGGGGGCCCTCCAGGGTCTCACAGCTCCGACAGATGGAAACCGGGAGGCTCCTTCGGTTTTTACTCAAACCAGTCACACAAGGTGGGTCACAGTGCTTGGAGGTGACCGGGGTACCACCCAGGCCCAGCCTGCTCTCCTCTCCCTGCTTCCGTGCATCCACTGACTTTGTTAAAGGCAAGGTTGGGTAGTTGCCCAGCTGACTCCTGTGGAAAGGCTTCAAGCTGGACTCAGTCAACGACTTGGCAGGTAAGAGGCCAGTTTTCTGAGTTTTGCCTATGACACAAGGGAATATTTCACAATCACATTTTGAAGCAAATCGAATCCCACGTCCCCACGCTGAACTGCACTAAGGGCACAAAATCATCATGTGTCACAATGGATGCTGTAGAGTTCTTTTGGTCCCATTTTTACTTTTAGAAAGATTTCTTAGTCTTACTAAAAAACTTATGGAGAGTTAAACTATAATCAAATTATGCTGCATTAGGCAACAGCACAAACTAAACTTAATGAATTTTTCTACCTGCAAGCAACACGAAAGAGGGTCGATCATCCAAACACACATAGAATTTTTTTGGTGAGTACAATATCCCAAGGTCATGGTTGAAAAGGAGAAGAGGACTGGCTCCTCTCAAGAGCTTGGATAAATGATGCTTCAAAGCAGTGATTAATGAATCCTCAAAATCACACTTTCCTCGAAGCTACTCCCCTTTAATAAATTTATCCAGAACCAACCAAGCAACTTTGATACAGACCAGCAAACAAACTGAAATGAATATCTTGTCAGAAGCCACTGACAAAATGCTTTCTACAGTTCTACATCCCAGCAAAGCAAAGCCCAGGCTAAAATGAACTGTCGGCCTGATAAGTGAAGCCACCAATCAGGCACATGACTTATTTATTTGATGATTGTTGACTGGTATTAACTGCTACTGCTGCTCAATAAGCTTTACTGAGAACATGCTGTCTATGAGCCAGGCACTGTAACGTGAACACACACTAATTAAGTGTCCCTGGTTTCATTTTTGGTTAATAACATTTTTGTTATAATCTCTGACACTGACAAATGCCAGACAGGAATGCCCCAGGTAAAGGAATATTTGAGCCAAATGATCCTATTACTCCAGACCTACAGAAAAAAAGTAATACTAAATCTATATCAGGTTTAGATGGTACACAAATATGGCTGGTTCTAATCTCTGGAAAGCCTCTATGTTGTGAAATGTAAGGTTTTAGGGGCTGGGGATCTAGCTCAGTGGCTTAAGCGCCTGCTTGGCAAGTGCAAGGTCATGAGTTCAATCCTCAGTACAGAAACAAAAACAAAAACAAGCAAACAAACTAAAAAGTAAGGTTTTCTTTCTAATTTATTGCTTATGTAAACATTTTTAACTACAAATTTTAATTAGAATTTTGACATCTTCCAATTACGCTGTCTTACCCCTTCAGTATATAAAGCAGCAAGAGTCTTCAGGCCATGATGTGACTGGGAGGAGAGAGAAATGGTTGGGTGGTGCTCAACTAAAGAAGGAAATGAGTACTTTGAAACAAATGAAAGGCATTCTTTGATAAAATCTATGTATGCATGCTGCATAGATGAGGGAAAAAGAACAAAGAGAAAAGCCCTGCGGCTGTGACATTACAAGAGCTTTGGCCATTATCAGCAAGGAAAAAATCGGATTCCTTCTATGATTTATGAGCTTCCACAAAACTCACTCTAATTCCAAACTGAAAATCTGCAATGTGTCATATCAAGCATATGGAGGATCCTAAGACTGATGGGTAAGAACAGTGGCATCTCAATCAGACTTCGTATTAGCAATTCCATCCTTTCTCACAAGGCAAATGTCAGCATGTGGAATATTTTGCATTCAGCAGAGCACAACTGGTCAAATGACGTTTGTCTGCCTTTAGGAATAGTAACTTGAGACCTCGACCACTGCCTATCTATATGCTCTACACTAACACGCACCAACTGCCAGGTATTATTAGGTTATTATTCTGTTGTTACACAGAGATCAGTAGCCTTGTTAATACTGACTACATTTGCCACAGTTCAATTTTTTTTTCCTAGAAAGACAAACACCTCTTCAGGAAACATATCACATTAAATTTTAAAAATTGGTTGAAAGAGCAAATTCTTAAAACTCCTTTCTTATATATTTTAGGAATGCAGTGCAAAGAGAATAATGAAGTAAATTCTGCTATCAGAATCTTGAGGAGAATTCAGTTCATTAACTGAGGTACGACAGTATGGCTTTCCTTCCCTTTACCTCCCAACATAAGCCACACTTCCAATGTAAATCCCCCATTCTGCCTAAATTGGAAAGATTCCTGGATTCACCTTGAATTCAAAATATGGTTTGCCATCTTCTTCAATCTACTTTTCAGCAGGTGCATCTGAATTCTTTTGGGCACTAAAAATCATGCCAGTACGATCTGTGAAATCTTTATCAATCCAACACAGTTGGAATTAATTTTCCAAAAATTCTTGGTTCCACAGGTTATTAACAGAAAAGCCTTCTGGATGTACCTGAGGATTTGATGTTTACTGTGACTCAGGTTGTACTGTGACCATAGGTGGGTTTTATGTCTCATCATGACCTAGGCTACCTGGGACTGAGCACCTCCTTACAGTGTGCAAGCTGGGCACCTACTTGAACCCCTTGATCCTGATTTTGTTGCTCTAAATGGCTTTCACACTATTTTTTAAATTATGATTCAGAGTAAGAAACACAGTTTACATCCACCATCTCACACACTCACACACCCACTGGAAGATTGTAAGTAACAACACTAGCAGCACTGATCCTTACCTTATGTGATGCATACTGATATTTTCTGCACCATTTTTCTTAGCAAACTGCCACCCATGACCCACTAAATTGATTTTACCACCCACCTATTAATTAGAAAATACAGTTTAAGGAAGGTTGCTTTCCAGGGTATTAATGATTATGTTAACACATGGACTTAGGGATGGGATTCCTATGATATCAGACCTAGGCATTTTCCCACAATGGCCTTTAAGTGTTCAACAGAGATTTAGGTCACAGCGGCAGCCCAAGCCCTTGGCTAGCATTTTAAAATCTCATAATAATGTGAATTTTGAAGTCACAACATCAAACTACAGAGCCCCTGGTACCCCATGACATTTAGCCTGCCTGACCCATTTCAACAGGAAACTCTGCTCCTGTCTGAGACAAATAGGCTTTCTGGAATTCCATATTGACTACTTCCTGCCTGTCAGGCCAGAAAAACCACAAACAAGACAAGTGGCCTCTTGGCTACCCTCTCCCAAAGTAACTGCTTCTGGACTGAGCCTGCAGCCAGCGTGTATAAGATATGGTTGCTGTGTGGCCCTGATGGATGGTCTACCTGGTAAATTGTTCTCCTTATGGACCTCACAGTTCTCAACACTCAAATGTGGGTTGCTATTGCATAAAGCAAAGGGCACAGGAGACAAACAATTTAGTTTTATAGTGGCAGGTATTTCAGATAGAATTTATTAACCTTACACAGCAGTCAGGATGAGTAAACACAGGCGCTAACTGGAGAGCAGTGTGGAAGGGGGCTGGAGGTGAAAAGACAGTTAGTTACCTGGTTCATTATGGAAAAACAATCAATCTTTTAATACAATTACACTTCTGAAATCAGAAACTTGAACTAGGCTCCCGATGGGCCTCGCTGACATTACCATTTTCCAGGTTCTCGCTGCTCTCGTAGCATCCCGAGTCTCTGGGGGAGCATCCGCTCAGGCCCTGGCTGTCCACCAGCAGCTTCTCCTGGGACCCAGACTGGTCGCTGTTACCTGGAGAAGGTGAACACAGGGCATGGAATCACAGAGGAGCAAAAGCAACAGTGCCAACGTCAGACAGGCCCCACCTTCATCCCGTTACTGCCGCAGGGTTTTCTTTTTCTTTTTCAGTACCGGGAATCGAACTCACAAACTCGTGCTTGCCAGGTCAGTGTGTGCTGCTGAGCTATATCCCTGGCCTGCCATATGTTTTCAAGCCTTGGACTTTAAAAGAGTACAAATTATTTTATGGTAAATAAGATGAAAATAAACTCACGAGATCAGAAGATTTCAAGTAAAGTATCAATCACATGAAGACAAATTTGGAAAAAGCACACAGTTGGAATATGCCAATGCCTTTAAGTCAGTCAAACAGACTGAAGCCACTGTGGAGAGGGAGGTGTTGGCAGCAGGGACAGTATCACAGACCTGCTGAGTGAGGACCCCATCATTAAGGGCAGAGTGAATAAATGCAGAAACGCCCTTCATGGATGGGTTAGGCCAAGTCCTTTTCAGAGACCTATAAGACTTGAACTTCAAGTTATTTATATCACTACCTCTCCAAATTTGGAAACTTACATAAAACTGTCCAATGACGAAGAATTTTGTTTTAGAGGCAGGATTTTACTATGTAGTCTAGGCTGTCTAGAATTTAGGAAATCTAAACTGGCCTTGAACTCATGATCCTCCCACCTCAATCTTCCAAGTGCTGGGATTACAGGTATTACAGACACCCCTAGTGACAACAACTTTTTGTTCTGGTTGTTTGGTATGTGATAGTTTCCTTTCTTCTTTGCCTTCTCCCACTGTCTTGGACCCGCGCTTCTATTTCCTGCACACAGACCTGAGAAGGAAAGCTCAGGGGACACTATGGCTGTTAGTCCCCGTATGTCAGCTTCACTGGATTAATTAACACCTAGCGGTTTAGTACAGGGTGTATATGGCTGGGTCACTGAGGAGTAACTTTGGGTATGATCTCTGGTCCTTGGCCTATTCCTCTCTGGCACTGACCTCCTGCTCTGCTTCCTGGTGACCATGAACCTAGCAACTTTGCTCCATCAAGCCCTTCCACCATGAGATCTTTGCTCTGGAGCCAGCCAATCGTGGACTGAAACCATGAATAAATTAAGCTGCTACTTCTTTATGCTGTGGCTGTGGGCACAGTGGCTCAGTGACCAGAGAGTAACTAATACACACTGTGACTTGGTAACCAAGCAGAAGATACATTTAAAGTGGATGGCTGAGAGTTCACTATCCTCATGGTGTTACAGAGAAGCACAATTATTTATTAACTGCATCTCAATAAAGTAGGGGAGAAAAAAATCAAGAAAAGTCTTAGACGTGTGCACGGAGGAAACCTTGCAGAGAATCACCGGCCGTTAGCTCTCTCAGCAGCGCCACTCTGCATGTCCTACTGAGTGAGCACATGGATCCGTACGTGAAGCACAGAGGCCACGCAGAGCATCTTCAAGACTAAGTGCTTGGTCACAGAAAACGGAAACCAACAAAACACTTTCTACAGAAAATAGCTAGTTGCAACAACAAACGGCTTTCATTTATTTTCCTTTTTCTTCGCCTCTCACCCTCCTGCTCTAACCACATACAGAAAGAAAAAACAATCCAATAAACCAGAAATATGATGCCTGTTCTCAGGTCATCAAAATAAACACGTGGGGAGGCAGAGGGCTGCGGGTCCCTCATGTCCTCTCGTGACTTCCTGTTAGTATTTCTCTCAGGGAAAGCTTCTGTGACACTTACTACAGAGACCATGGCACAATAAGCTCTTTAATTAGAAATACAAATGAAGAGTGCTAATTGTTAAGTGACTAATGACAAATCGACATTTTGGAAGCCCATGAACAAATACTATCTCCCCAACACCAAAAATTGGAACATTCTAGAGCGATGCCCTCATGCTGTGGAAGAGCCTGTGGCCTTGGAGTGGCCTTAGCTCTGCCTAGCATGTCATTTAGAAAAATGATACTTAGGAAATGAGGGCTTTGAGCTTCTGCTACAGCTCAGTGAGAGAAACCGCTGTTGTCTATCCCTGCAGCGCACCACAGAAACAAAGCTAATTCCAGAGTGCAGACCAATGAGAAGAAAGCAGCTGGGTCTGCATTTGGGGGATCCTAGCCTCACCCGGCACAGAAGGGCACCTCAATTGTAAGGACAGGAAAAGGATCCCTCCCATCACCTGAAAACCACAGTCCAACTCACAGTCGGGAGCATAAGACAAAGGGCCAGAGTCACTGTCTTCATCTGGGACAAAACAAGCAAAGCCTTGTATATGTCCTGCAGAAGAAGCCCATCACTCTCTACCATGCTTATTAGCATTAAACCCCAAGCATGAAAGAAAAGAATGAGGAGGAACTGCAACGTGCAAATTTTGACAGTCAAACAAGAGTGAAAGACGGAATCCCCAGTTGGGTATGAGCTGACTCTACTTGGGTTCCCCCATCCTAAAAACTGCACAACACATCCACACAGAAAAAAATATGCTGAGATCTCAGGACATCTTCACACATCTAAGCTGGTGGTGCACAAAGGCACCCAGAGTTATCTGAACAGCAGGTACTTCGGGAAGCAAAAAGGGGAGGGAACGGAATTCTTGGATAGCAGCATGTCAACAGGGCTGTAAAATGAGGACTGCCGGGAGGCTGAGGCAGGAGGCAGGAGGATCCCAATTGTGAGCCCAGCCTGGGAAGCTTAGTAAGATTAGGCACCGGGATACATCTCAGTGTGGAGGCCCTGGATTCAATCCTCATTTTAGTCCGAATGAATAGGACTGAAAGATGACAACATATTAACTCTAGTTGAATTCAGGAAGTGCTCGTGTATAAATCTGTTTTATTTTTCTCATTACTACACACTCAAAATTAATTCCTGATTAAATGTTTCACAGGATATATTTATATTGAGCTGTACCTTTAAAAATGGTTAAAATGTAAACTTTTTGGTATGTGTATTTTACTACAATTAAACATTTTTTTAAAAAATTTTTTGAAAGAGTGCTTATAGTTAGTAGCCCTAGAAGAGCAATCTGACAATCAGGGTCTTTCCCAGGCAAACCCTCTCTGGAAGCTGCTTTTCTCCACGCACTGGGAGGCCCCAGACAGAGCTGACTTCGAAGCTATGCTACAGATAGATTTTTTGCTCTCCTAGGATGGCTGAGCTAGAAACTTTCAAGATGTGCACACACCTTCAAAGACCTCAATAGACTTCTGTCTCTCTAGTACAAAGAAATTTAGTTTTACAGAAAGCTGCTGTGGTTCTCTAAATTAACAGGTATGTAGAAGGACTACTTCTGAAACACAATGAATTGAACCATATTAGTTGTAAAGTCTTATAAATAACAATGAATAAATCTAGACCCAGCCTCTTGGCAATAAGCAGTGCCTCTGAGTCCCTTAAACTTTTGCTGTAAGACAAATAAAAGGAATACCACTCTGGTTATCAGTAAAGTCCCATTACTGGTAATGCATAGGTCCAAGATGGGATTTATGAAGAAGAGGACTTGGTAGGCTCTGTGTGTATGTGTGTGTTACTGGGGACTAAGCCCAGGGCCTTACACTGAGTCATAGCCCAAGCCCTTTTCTCTTCTGAGTAAGGTTTTGTTAAGTTGCTCAATTTCCCAGGCTACACTCAAACTTGCAGTCCTCCTACCTCGGCCTCTGAGAATATTGGGTTTAAAGATGTGAGCCACCAGGCCTGGCCTTCTTAGTTAGCACTCTGATGAATACAAATACCCTCCCTCATAATGTCCCTGGCACAAATCTCAGGATGTAACTCAAGGACAAGGGGTCTGGTCAGCATGGTATGAAACAGTCTAGGCTAAATGTCTGCTCTCTACTCAAGAGTTACCTGCGGTCCTCCTCTGCTGGGGTGAAGGCACTGTGGTGGACAGTGCGCATAAACCAGTCCTGCTCCAGGGCTGAGGAACAGCAAACGGGCTATGTTTATAGAGCAGATGTGGGTCAGGAAAACAGGTGAATATTAATTCACATAGACACAACATGGCCACAGACCCCAGGGTGCCTCTTGAGAGGTGTAATCACTAGTAACCTAGTCATAAAGCAACACGATTCCCTCCCAATCTACCCTGACGGTCACCCGTGTACCTAGGACCCAGACATCTGTTTCACATTGTGTGTCCCTCTATGTCATCAGTGAATTTAGAGGGCACACATTTTAAGAAGTGAAAGACACAGCACTAACGTGCTGGCCTCTAAGTCTCCAGCGTCTGATGTACCAGGTCAGCTGTCCCTCCAGAACCCTGTCATAAGGTAAAAATACAAACTAAAAATGCATTTGATAAAAATACCATAAACTAAAATGCATTGAATACAGCAGAGCCACCGAGTATCCTCACTCAGGCGTTACAGGGCACCTAGTTCTGCAGTCTGCTCAGCCTCCTGACTGTGGGGAGGAGCTGCAGCCTGCAGCCACACGGCATCATGAGCGAGCGCTGTGGCAGGCTGCGCGTCTCTAGCCCAGGAAAAGACCAGGATTCAAAATCTGAAGTGCAGTTTCTACTTCATTATGCTTTCATGCCACCAGAAAGTCAAAAAATTCCTGCGCTGGGAATCACCTGTAATGTGTAACCCTTTTCCCACCATTAACCACCGTTTTGCTGTGTCTTTCAGCAGCAGAAATGCTATTAGCCACTGATATCCCTGAAGCAAAGCACTGGTAAGAAAATGCACTTGGATTCAGTAACTGGAAAGGATACTACGTTCGTGATGCATAATTTCAGGAATGTTTGTGATGTGAGACTGAAGAATAAAGAGCAAGACAAGGCCGGGTTAATGGAGCGACGGGTAGGATCCATGCGACAGACTCCATAAGAGCCGCGCTCCCTTAATTCTGTGCACACGCTGTCATTTATTTAAGTTTGAATCCTTTTGCTCCACATACTTCAGAGACACTGCCTGCTTCTTTAATGGGAACTGATTAATTTCACTTATTCATCAGCTTGTCCACTAAAATAATACCTCATGATTTTGAGAAGTAATTAACCCTTGGCTGGGCAGGAAACTGCCAGTTAATCGGTTACTTTTTTGCCCAGAGACCCTGATGACCTGCTGTACATTGCACATCCCAACAGACCTTAAGACAGAGTCCACTGTTTTTCTTAAAAAATAGCAGGTGGTTCTCTCAGTCATGTGGAGCAGCACTGTCCTCAGTGATTACCAAAAACATGCCAGGAAAGCTGTCAGGGCTACCAAAGAATTGTTTTGCTTGTATGTTAGCACAAACATCTGTACTTGGAATTTATGTCCTTGAGCTATCTGGCATACAGTGGACCCCTGACTTAGGAACCCAATTCGTTCCCGAAGGCTGGTTGTAACTCGAGTTGTCACTGAAGGCTCAGGCTCCTGTACACAGCCTTCAGTCTCTCTCCTGTATACTGGCAGATCTCAGTGGCCTAGAGAGACATTGGCCCAGGGTTTCTCAGTTAACCCCATACAGGAAAAGATGTCATGTTCCTTCCAGAACTCTTTAAGGGCTAAGTCTGTATCCAAGACCATCTAGAAGCACAAGAAGCTGACATTCAGGTCATAACTCAAAGCTCTGGTCATAAATTAAAACTAAAATTCTGATGATAACCCAAGTTGTTCATAGGTCAGGCTGCTCTGAACTTGAAGGTCCACTATGGTATGAAACTGACCTTAGCTTTGGAAGGAACAAGACAATGTGAGGGACCCCAAGGATGTAAGCACCTGCTGATATCAGTTAAGAGGCCTGCTGGAGACCAGAGACTGTGGTTCATGGCCCCTGTGGGTGCGTGCGTGCGTGCGTGTGTGTGTGTGTGTGTGTGTGGTGTGTGTTTGTGTGGGGAAGGACTTACTGTCATATTCCTGCAACAGCTCCACTGCTGTCAAGAGAACAGCTCTGTGCTCTGGGTCTCTGATATTTAGTTCATCCAAGTCTTCCTCCTCCAGGAGCTTGAAGGTGTCCAAATCTTCATATCCATTGAACAGGAAAGTGGGCATGTGCTCCTGGGAGGTGCAGAAAGAGGAGCAAAGGGAATCAGAGGCCCAGCCATGCCATACGAGGCCCACTACTAGCCTCAGACCTCTCAGCTCTTCTCTCATCTTCATTTTTATGCTAATCAAGATTAGGATCATTCATAATGCATTCCGTACCTCCCGGCCCACCAATTTAGCAAGCATGCAGACTATTTTTTAATCACAGGTTAAGAAGACATGCAGTACAGACTGTGATGGGTTCCACGTTCTAACTGTGGTTGTGCTATGAAATAATTCCTCCATCACTACATGGCCCACCAGAGAAAAGACTCCTCCTTTGTAAAGGTATTGAAATTCAACGTTAGACCCTTCAAATATCTCAGGAATAAGAGGGTTTTTGCAAGAAATAGAATCACCCACTGTAGATCCATCACCTGCCGGATGCTGGGAGTCCTAGTGAGAGGCAGGTGGGAAGGAAGATGCCTTCACTGTGGAGCTGGCCGTGTGAAGGCACCAGGGTTAACGCTTACAGCCTTTCTTGGAGCACATTTTAATCTAGGGCTTATACTGCTACCGCAGAGTCGGTCAAGGGTAACATGAGAATCCGGGTAACTTCTGTAGGATGGCTACTCACCATACTAATGGGTCACACTTGTTAGATGACACAGATCAACCCCTTGCATAGCCTAAAACTCCCTTCCCCCTGCTTAGTTGAGGAGGAACAGGCAGTGAGGAAGTATGTGACAAATAAGAGACTGACTTTTAGGTTAATCCGGTCCAAGAGATCCTCCACGGACTTGGGCTGGGGAGGTCTTCCTTTCCTCCTCCTCCTGGTGGGGCGCTTGGGCTTCTCGTCCTCCTCACTCAGCACATCCACGTAGATGAACTTAAAGGTGCCGACCTTGTTGTTCAACAGGCCCATCCAGGTCCCCATGGGTGGTTTGCTGATTATGTCAATAATATCTCCTTTCTGCAGCCCAGGGAACACAGATCTTTCCGTCAGGTGCATTTTGAAGTACAAATTTGTGAGTTACACAGTTGGGGAAACACCAGAATCGGGGTCCCACACATGACCTTCCTGAGCCATCAGCACAGGACGTGACAGGGAGTTTGGCAGAGGCAGAACTCAGCATCGCGATTGTGCTGGATCCCACCTGAGCCCAGGTCACTGGCTGCCCTCCCTTCTTCTGGCACCTTCCGGACTGGGATACTATGCTATCTCCCGCCTGGCTCTCAAAATTCTTTCTCCTCACCCTGAGTGTTCCTGCTTCCCAGAGGAAGAACTCCCGACCACCCCTGGGTTAGTGGCAACCCCTGCCCTGGGGTCACTTCACTCATTTTGTGGAATTCCATCTTCAGGTTCCACATAAGTATCTCTGTTCACACACAGAAGGCAGTCATCCATTTGTAGATGGAGAAAGCATAGAAACTGGGGTGTGGAGGCCACAGGGGTTCTAAAGCGTGAGTCATGATGAGACAGTCACACAGGCCCTTCTGTCTGACTGGTTAGTTCTCAGTTTTTGCTAATGAGACATTGGATCAACAGGCCTTGTTACAACCCAGCATCCAACAGTGGGGAGGAAAGAAAGAGAGGGGTCCAGGTGGGCTTCTCTGAGCCCTGGAGAGACCCACCTTGAGCTTGAGGGAGTCTGTGTCGTAGGGACTGGGGGTGAAGTCGGTGTGCACCCGGGCTCGCCCACAGAAGGGGCCTCGGTAGGGCGGCTCCTCGTCATCCCCATCTTCTGACTTGACGCTTTCCCTGTTGCTGGTGGAGGAATCAGTAGTGCTGACTGTCTGACCACCTGTGTGGGAAACACGGGAAGGAGGAAGCTAAGCACAGATTCCCCACATGGCACAGCTGAAAAGGATGGAGGGTATCACAGCTGAGGAAGGGGAGAGCTGGGCATGGGCGCCACGCGTCAGGACCTTGTGACCCAGTCCAAACAGGGGCCACATCTGCCTTCCCACTGACTGCGGTCCCTAACCAGGTCCCCACGGCACTGCACGCCGTCCTCATGGCTGAGGAATCCATGTGACACGGGGAGGGATGAAGACACCACAGTTCTGGACACCTGCCTTTCCCTTTCACATTCGTGCCCCCTTACTGGTACAGTACACTACCAGGAAACACCACTTAGAGGTCAAGGAACTTGCCCAAGAATAAGGCCTTACAGTAGCGAATTTAAACACGACTTTCTCCTTTACTGTCTGCTCCGTACCAGCCAGCCTGGGGCCTGGGGCAGCTACACAGTACTTGTTACCTACTGTTGGCAGTGACATTAGTAATTCAACCCTCTTTACCTTACCGGTCGCTTTTATGTGCCTTTTCCTTTGGCTTAAAGCCCCTCCCCACTTCTCTACTTCCTTGCTCTCAGACGCATCTCTTACCTTCCCCAGCCAAAATGAATCACTCCCCTGTGTGCCACTATTACCAAACGAATGTGACTGTAAGTGCAGGTATTTTGTAGGTCTGGTTCTCTCTCACCACACTTTTCCTCCCTGAGGAAACGCGGTCCTACAGATCATGAACTTGCTCAGATTGGAAGCTCAACACATGTTTGATTTTAATGGCGAAGAAGATTATCTTACAAATTGGACTTACTCATTGAGCTCTGCCCACTCAGAGAGCTCCGTAGACTTTCCACAGATCCTCCAGCTTTGAGCTTGGGTTTGTCCATGTGTTCAGGGTCAGGCTGGGCAGAGGCTGGGGAGCCAGGCATTCCGTTGAGCCCTGAGTCCTGAAAGGGTACACAGGTACACAGGTATTGCTTTGCAGTCCTCAGCAACGTGGGCCACATCCATCAAGCTGATCTTCAGAGTCATACTTCATTCTAAACCCTATTCTCTTATTGAACCTGTATCACACAATTTTAAAGCTATGACCCTTTATTTATTAAGCACTCAAAAATTGTTTTGCATGTTAAAATAGGTATTTTTGAAACCTCTGGGAGGAAAAAAAATCTACCACAAAAATCAAATATTTAGTTAAAGGCTTAGGGAGACTCAGCATAACTCAGCAGCTCAGTGTCATGCCTGGACTTCAGTGTAGATCACGTACGACCCACTATTAATGCAGTATCCAAAGAACTATCAGAGTGTATCTAATCTACTTTCAAGGGAAACATTTACAGTAAAAAAAATAAAATAAAATAGTTTACTTCTCAAAACTAACAGAAAACAATTGGCCATACTGTCATGCTTCTATTTATATAAGTTATTGATACTGGCTAAATAGTGACCAACTGAAGACCCAGGTACATGACAAAGCTACAGCTTTTTAGTCTATCACAAAGTTTCCAGATGGCATTCTATGGTTCAATTTCTTTTCCTTCTTTCCATTCTTGCTAGCAAAACGCCACAAGTCCCTTCGGGTCAGACTGCCAGATCATCAGCACGCTTCACTGTGGGGCGGCCAAATGTGATCAGCCCGGCAGCTCCTCACTTGCCCATGTATGTACAGCATACTTCTTTGATCAGTGGTGCCACAGAGATAAGACGACATCACAGCATGCAGCAGGGAGCATTTGCCTGGCACCCCAGTTACCGGCATGTGGGATTTCCTAGCACTGAGGATGTGAATACAAAACCATCTGAACAAAACCTGGTATTTACATGGTGCCAAGTCGTCAGAAGGCCTTTCATACAATTCCACTGGCCCCCAGATGGTTAAGAACAACTCAGCGGCAGGTTCTGATTTGACATCTTGTGCTTTGAAAGGAAGGCAAGTGAGCAAACCACCTCAAGAACAAGAACTAGAAACCAAAATCACATGATCGCAGAAGTTACTGGAGCTGCAAGGATGGTTCCTAAATCGATTTTCATTCTTCTTTTCTGAATCCCAAAACAAATGGTCTTTCCAATTAAAAACTTTTCTGATGCTTCTTGGAAAAGTGCATGTTTTGAAACACAGTAAAATTAAAAATGCATCCTGGTTTTATTTGGTCTCCAATGCTTTTTAAATTACTAATTTGTTCACCATTCATTTATTGATTATCTACAAAAAAAGGTACCAATCTAGGTGCTAGGCATAAATTAGAAGGAAAAAGACAAAAATCTCTTGCCATCAGAGAAACACAGATTGAAAGAACACTGAGATTCTACCTTATCCAAGAAAGGAGGGTTATCATCATGAATCAAATAATAACAAGGACTGGCAAGGTGCTGGGGGAAATGGAACCCTTCTACATGGTTGGTGAGAATGTAAACTAGTATTCCTGCTAAGGAAAACAGTGTGGAGATTTCTTTAAAAATTTAAATTAGAAACTCCATTGAATGAATACATCTTCTAGGTAGCTTCCTGAAAGAGTTAAAGACATCATACTACAGTGATGCAGGGGTAGTCATGTTTACAGCAGCACAATTCATAACAGGTAAACCGTGGCACTAGCATATACGACCATCAACAAATGAACGGATAAAGCAAATGTGGTGTTTACACACAGTAGAGCACCACTCTGCCATAAAGAAAGATAAATTTGAATCATTTGTAGGCAAATGGATGCACTTTGAGACCACAAATAAATCAGACACTCAAGTTTAAATATCACATGGTTTCTCTCATATGAGAAACCCAAGTTATAAATAAGGAACAAAACAAAAGATAGATAAGAAGAAGCAGGGAAACAGATCTTTCTCGAGTGGGAAGGGGATCAAGGGATGTAAGGGGGAGTGGGAGAGGTAAAGGGAATGAAAAAAGAAGATAAAATGTGTCATGAGCACGTATAAATTCCACACAAGGGATGCAAGCATTACGTACCGCAAACCTGTACAAAAAGGAGGGAGGGAAGGAGGCGGGAGCTACAAGATCGCTACGTGGCAGTGAAATAGTAAGATACTGCTAAAAATGACATTAAAATTCTACGCTCACAATCCACAAAGCAGAAAACCTCTAAAACATAAGCTTGTAAGGGCTTTTCAGTAATGTTTCAGTTTTGGGGATCAGACTGAGAAAATGAAGCACTTGAAATAGTGGCAGTACTTCCACTGATGGACAGCACAGCTGGTTTCACTGCTGGGGAGAAATAAAGAGAATCGCGGTCACATCTTCACTCATAAGGACAAGAAAGTAAGAAGAGTAAGGGTAAAAACCACGGAGAAGCACACGGAAGACAGCCCAGGCTTTCCAGTAGGTCTGGTAAGCCGCGAGTTCGGCCTGAGCACCGCGGGCATTCTGGACCATGGTACTCTGCTGTGGCGCCAGACATACATCATGCTCCATGTCTGCAGCACTGTTGGCCAGATTCCGGCAGCGTGCGCATCATTCCACCAAATCCAGTGTGACTATCAAAAATATCCCAAAATGCCAGGGGTTGATAGGACAGCAAATAATTCCCAATCTTACAGTGATAACCTCTGCCATAAACATGTGCACACTATGTCTGAACTCAAGAGCAGGTGACTGACTAGTAAGAGTTCAGTGACTTCAACAGGAGGATGCTTGCTGTTCAGCTTACTGTGCCCACCAGGGGGCAGCAGCACAGCAAAAATGTCTGCTTTCCGGCTCCTTTCACTCTCCTGTACTTGGATGAACCAGCCTCCCCACATTATCTTATGCAGTTAGCCAGCTCACTCACATGTATTTTAAACAGGCCACAAAATCAGTAGCATAAGGGTATCAGAGAAGAGGGATCTGAAAGCCAATGATCAAAATTAGCTAAAGTTCAGTTCTCCAAGTGTTTTTATTTCTTCTACCAATTCAATTAAGACAGAAAAGATAATGTGGCTAATAATTTTTAATAGAATGGGGCGGGGTTCAATTCTGTGATAGCTTAATGGACACAGATAGTACCAATTAGTCAAAGCACCCCCAAGGAAGTGGGTCAGCTATCAAAGTCTGATAACTAGGAAGCACTTTAAATTTCTTCCTCATACTTGCTATGTCCTTCTAATGTAACGTAGGCTACACCTGAAAAGCCTGCTGTCCAAAGGCACTTCTTTAGCTTGGGTCCTGCTAGTAGTCTGCCGCAAGGGTATTTAAGAAGCTCCTTTTGCATTCACATGTACGACACCTATTGCACTAATGAATAACTATTTCTCTCCGTGGTTCTCTCTCTTGTGTTTTGTGACCTGTGTTTTATATTCTCAGCCCTAAACATGGTGCCTATGCAATTCTAAGTGCTTAACTTGAGCTTCCAGAATTTAATGTTTGCCTACATAAACAAAGCACAGCCCTGGAGCAGGTTAATACTACACATACTTCACATGACTTATAATCTCAGATGATCACCCTCGGCTTCCCTGGGAGCGCCCAAAGGGCCTTGCAGCTAGGCAGCCACATACCTGCTCAGAGACAGAGCTGCTGTATTTCTTAGACATTCTCTTCCGCATTGTCTCTTTCACTGATTTCACTTTTCTTCCGAGAGATATGCGGGAGGCAGTGGGTGATTTGATGACTTCTTTGTACACAAAATCTCCTTCTTTTCCCTGTGAAATAAAATGTAAATAATCTTCAGTCACAGAAAATGAAGCTCAGAAATACGTTTTACTATACAAATCATTAATGGCCATGCTGTCAGAAAAATAGTATTCTTGAGACCTTGACATTTTTCTTATGTGAAGTCAGTGCTTGAGGCTATTTATCTTTTTGATTAGAAATTAAAATCAACTAAGTGGCTCTTTGTTTGAAGTGGCATGTGAGTCACTTTTTACTTTACTCTTAGCACATTCTTCTCCAATTATTTTTTTTTTTTCATTGTTTTTGGGACTCAAGGAACCTGCACTTCATCAGTTAGAGTGATCTACATGCATCAGTGTTCCCTCAAGCCCAGCAGAAGGGAGAGAGAGGGTGGTACCCAAGTCAATCCACAAAAGTGGATTCATCATCGGTGGTGAGAGCTGGGGCAGGACAGCCCCAGCATCAGGATGGATTTTATTGCTGTGATGGTCAGCGTGGTCTGCTCCTGAAAGTGTATATAAATCTTTCCTGAACAAGCTAGACTATGATCATCTCTCATTTTGTTTTGTATTTAAACACAAACTTTCCTCTGAGAAAGGGGGGAAAAAAAACCCCAATAACTTTCATTATATTTTTTAAAGAAAAGATTAACCGTCTACAATTATTGGTTTGTGAAGCAATAAAATTTGCTATCCAAATAAAAGAATTTACATCTGCCAGGAAATTTTGAGGTAGCTAACATCTCATAGATGCAAATTTTAGCTGAAACAGAGTTGTGAGAAACAAAGTTTCATAACAAAAACACATAGAGAATGAGCAAAACTGTAGGTCTGGTCTGCCATGGCACCACGCAGGCTAGATTAATTCCAGGACAACCCCATCACAAGTACTGGGCCCATGGAAGAATGCTCGTTAGAGATGCTAGCACATGCTCTTGGTTCCCCGCTTACAAGGCTCTCTCCGGCTGTACTACATGTAACTAGTGTAAAGAAAAGGATGGAGGACACAACTGACCAAGACCACAGAAGTCAAAATCACCTGGATTTGTCACTGGTAGGAAACCAGAAGGAAAGCCATTCAAAGAATTCTGCTACTTTAAGGAAGGATGGAGGCTGTGTTAGCGGTCATTCCTCCCATGCGGAACACAGAAACATCTATAACAGGGCTTCTTGCCAAATATAATTAGGGTCTCTAAGGAAAGCCCGAGTCAATTCTCAAAGGTACTAAATGGGAAGCTACTGTCAATCGCAGCTGTAAGCTGCCATGTGTTGCTTTCCTCCGACATCTACTCACCACTGGGTCAGCACTGTTGCTGCCAACGTGCAGAGATCGATTGGTCAGGTCGAATCCTCCAAAACTGCAAGTTCTCTGTGGAGAGCAAAGGTCAGAGCAGGAATATCCCAGTTATTCTTAGGTCAGCCAGCTGCGCACAACCCAACCCATGTCCCCTGTGCAGGCCATCGCGGCATCACAAAGACGTGTACGGGATGAAGGCGGAAAACGAGAAATGATGAGGGAAAATCCACATGGTTCATGGCGGAAGGAAACTTCACTTACGTTGCCCATTCACAGACCACCGGCATTCTGCCTTCACCAGGGTTCTAGAATCCTCTATGCAAAAGACAACTAGCTTTTAAAACACAAAATAAAGAAAAAAATTCCACAAATTTAGTGCTATAAGACTTGTTGTCTCTTAGCATAGATTTTCTCCTTCCACTTTCATTAATAGCAGCTATAGACAGTATTTGATGGTGGAGTCATCAGTGGTCTTGGAAACTCAGCTGTAAAGTCCTCTGCTTGGCCACTGAGAGCAGGCTCTCCTAAAAGACATTTGTTTTGTCTACTTTCAAGTCTCTGAGAAGGGGGAAAAGAGGTTATGTTTATTGTAGTCCAATCAGGTCAAGAGGGTTACTCACCCACTGCTTCCCTGGCCTATTGCTGATAACTTTCCCATCTAACTGCCCAGCTGAATTAATTATAACTCTTTTTCCTTACTGAATAAAGTGAGGGCACTACATTTGCCCAGAAAGAAAAAGACGGATTGAGTGACTATTTTTGACCACATTGTTTAAATTCAATAGGAAAGATGCTGATGGTATAAAAATGAATGAGGTCCAGGGATTTAGCTCAGCGGCATAAGCACCTGCTTTGCAAGCGCGGGGTCATGCCTTTGATGCCCGGTACCACAAAAAAAAAAAAAAAAAAAAAAGAATATTTTATCGTCCATAGTTGACTTTAAACTCTGTGGAACTCCTTATATTTAAATGGTTTTACATGTCTAGAACTTGGATTGAGTTTCTGTTGTTTTTCTAGCAAAAGCCACTCTTGTTCCTAAATGACCCCTTCTCAACACCCCCCTCAGTGATCTTACTCAAGCAACTGGTAATAAAAGTTGAACAGCAGATTTGGGCTTCAACATTTCCTATCATCTGTGCATCCTATGGTTCTCAGTGCACCTAACAGCTATTGAATGGAAGCAATGAACAGAAAAATCACAAAGCATACTCAATATATTACTTATTTACCATAAATATACTTTAGACATATGATGCCTAATAAACAAATATCGTATTTCTATTTTGTTTTCACCAGATGTGATAAAAAATACAGTGAATGCTGCTGCTTAGTACTGTGGTAGACAGGCAGGCTATAAAATATTACAGTGTGCCCTTACCCATTTTATTCACTAGATCTGGCACCATGATGTTTCTGGCTATTTGCCTAGTAAAAAACGACCATGAGAGGTAAATGTTTTGAATTGATTCAGAACTTCGAAAGAGCCTTGGGAATGCAACTGAAGATCCTCATGAAAGAGCACTTCCAGAGCAGCTTCAGAAAGCAGCAAGAACAATGGCATAAGCGGATTTGAAATAAGGGTGTTTTGAAAGGATGAGTGGAACTGAATCTTTTATTGTTAAAATTTTTTAAAATTTAAACATTCAACATAGTGAATGTTTTGATCATACCTCATATATTAATTTACTGTGCCAAGAAAGTAGAAGCATCCAGGGAGGGAGACGAGTAGGTTTTCAAAGTTCCACAAGGCAGAGGAAAGTTCTGGTTCTACCACTTACGTTCTGCATGATCACAGATGAAATACCAAACTTTCTAAGCTTTGGATTTTGCATAAATGAAATAATACTTGCATTGTCTGTTGGAAGACTTCCAGCACACTGCCGGGTATAAAGCACGTGTCCCATAGTGTTGGCTTCTTCCAGCTCCTCTCACTATGGCTATGCTGACAACTTGGTAGCTCACCCAGACAGCTACTATATTAAAGTCTAGGCATAGACAGTATTATGAACATGCAAATGGAAAGCAGGAGTTCGGCTCTGGATCTTACTATCTTGAAGCTCAAGTATAAAACCAGAGGACCCCAGGAAAAGCTCACAATGGGAACAAGGAAGGTATGGCACACAGAGGGCTGGGAGAAAAAAAAAAGGAAGGTGCCTGGGGACCACTAGCATTCAGTATATGTCACAAAGATATTCTGCTTTATCAGGACTATTGCTGCTGTTTATTCTTGACTTGTTTAATGATCTGACTCCACCTTTACGTTAAATTATCAACAGACAACCTGTTTTCCTTTATAGTAAATATAAGTAGAATTTCACTAGTCTATAAAAAGAGAAAACCTTCTCTGTGAAAACACCACATCATCTAACCAAGGTACAGTGTTATGACCACATCTCAAAGAAAAGCTTAACATTAACTTTCCTTTTCCAGCTGATAATGCAGAACAAGTTTCCTCATTTTTGCAAAGGCAATGACTTTATTCTAGTTCCTTTCCTGTGACTCAAGGCTTCTTAGACACAGTATGGCACACAGATGCCTGATTGCTTTATGATTTTTCAAGCCCTTACTTTAAACGACATCTATTGTGGTACTGGAGCCCCATACATTATTTCTGATGCATATGAAACAATCAACAAAGAATTTATGTGGAAATTATGACTGCAATGAATTAGAAGTTTGTTTAAATTTTCATAAGCCCATTGTACACATTTATGCCAAAAATAAAAACCTTAAAATGAAGAACGGGTTGGTTTTTTTCACTATCAACTAACATCTCTCCCAGGGATAGCCTAAGATATTTGGAATTGATTCTTTTTTATTCATGAGACTTGACAAAGAATATAACAATAAAGATGCCTGAATGATTACCCATCTTCTTTTCATAAGATCAAAAGTAGCTCTCAAAACACACCTTGAGAAGAAAAACTATAAAAAGTGGTCAGTCAAAGAAAAATATACCAATCTTTGACTTTGGTGACCTATACAAATGAAGCATAAATGAAAATGCTTTCAAAAATTCATACATTTCTAATATAGATAATTATAAAAACATTTTAGATAGATGCTTGGGATGAGGAGAGCTAGTCAATGGGATGGTCATGCAGTGGAAAACATGTTTTGGGAGGGTTGAATTTAAAAATGGACAAAATTGCAAAACATCATGCATGTCTGTTCTCCCAAACAAAAACTGAATGAGTAATAAAAAGCAAGACACGAGATCATTTCCAGTGAATTCAAAGCGTTATCATTTCCCTGAAGTTTCATCAAGCAAATATGGCATTTTTGAAAGACAAAAGCATTAAGGTTGAAGATTAAAGGAAACTGCATACTTTGGGATACAATAAAGGAAAGACACGGCAAGGAGGAATGGGAAAGAACTTTTTAAATAAAGGAAGAAAGGAATTAAGATTAATCCTTTACAAAAACAAAGCTCTAGAGGTGAGGGTAGCTCAGCGGCAGAGTGCTTACTGACCACGCAGAAGGTTCTGGGTTCCACCCCCAGCACCACAGAACAGACAAAATCAAGAACAAAAACCTAAAAGGCAGCTCCTTCTTTCAATAAAACACTTACTTTCACTTACATTTTCCAGATATTCAGGAAATTAAATTTTATTTTCTTGATTATACAATTGTACTACAAGATAAGCTATGTGCAATTTTCTAATTTAGCACTGAATACACATTTTAGCAGATATTAAAGCCATCCAGCGCTGCCCAAGCTTGTAGCATCCTTTAAATATCCAATTTTACTGATGCTTGTGACAAAGATTACAAAGTACCATCTTTGGGGGGCCAGAAGGTGCTTAGAAACACACTAGCTCAGATATTCATCCTTAACATCACCAGAGGATTTATCACTGGGCCGCTATATCTGTTAACACAAATCTCATGATACAGCTTCTTGAGACAGCCCTAATGAAGTTACTGTCTTAATCCAGCAATAAATAGTCTGAGGGCTCATGAGCAACCCAAGCTCCTCGAACTGGACAAATTCTCAGGGTTACATGATTTAAACTCACAGCAGTGAGTCGTCACTTAGCAAGTTCTGTTCTATTAAACTCATGCCAAAAGGTTCAAAGGGACATAACACCTCGGAAGATTTTTAAAAAGTTCTACTGAGACTGGCACTTTGCAGAAGATTTGTGTGTCAGATAGACCAGAGGCTGAATGAGTCACAGAGAGAATTCTATCATTTTGAAACAAAAATAAAACCAACAAAAACCAATGTCACAATGTAGGAAGAGTCAGAAGCAAAGCTTTTGCTACCTAAGAGTAGTATTAAAAGTGTGGCCAGAATCATAAGTGTGAAAAGACAGAAAACAGAATCTCAGAAGAAATTCCATGCGTGTGGGAGTATCTGGGAAACTCAAGGCCAGGAAGGACCAATGATCCTTTTGGGAATAGAGAAGGTCATTTTAAGGATGGCATTGACCAGTCAGTCTTTATTTCCACAAAAGCAGAACCTGACTGAATGAATTTAAATTACAGTAATCATCAGGGGAAGAACATCCTATTCATGAATGCAGAGAACCCTGGGAAAAGCTGCTATGGAAGCATATTCTGTTCTAAAGCTCCTTTCAAACCTTTCAAAGGGACCCCAGCCAGCAGGCCTCCCCCGGGGGCGGGAGAAGCTAGGTGCCAGAGGACAGCAGTGCCAGCTCCTCCTCATCGGCACCACTTCACTGGGCTATTGTGCAAGCTAAAGTTAGGTGGGAATTCCACAGGGGAAAACGCTGCAATCCAAAGTAAGTTATGCCCTGAAAAAAAAAATTTTTTTTGGCCTGATCTCTCTGATCTTTCAGCATTAAAACTGGAAGACTCTTTATTTTTACAAGTAAGGACTTTCTGGCAATGTACAGAAAACTCAGGCTGCTGGTAGAGGACATTACTGAATGTCAATCCCTTTGTGCAAAAAGCTGAGAACATTCAATAGACATAGTAAAACAAAAGTGTTCTAATTTACTTTTTCCCTGTTAGAGTTAAGAACGTTCTACTTGGCCCTATTAATAAAGAAGGATACTTCACTATGTTCTCTAATTACCAATCTGGGGCTCTGAAGATGGTAAATATTCTGTGAGCTCTTTCCTATTGTTTGAATTAACTAAAAAAGCAAGTATTTCTTTTAAGAGTGAAAATATCCTTCTGCTTCGAATCAGCTCCTTTGAGGTCAAGTGATGTGATGGCTAATGATCAAGATGGCCACTCCTAGAGGTGGCCCAACCCTAGCCCTGTACGCTGAAAGCCTCTCTCTGGATCAGCTTCAATGTTTAGACTTAATTAAAAAGTCGGATGGCTTCCACAGGCCAGAGAGAAACAGAAAAGGAGAAAGCCGCTGCTGAGTGACCAGATGGTTAGAAACTGAAGATGATGGCAAGTGGACCCTAAAGGATTTGGCAAAGAGAGGGGAGGAAACCAGGCTCCACAGAAGAAAGGCCATGATGCTTGACTGCACATCACAGAAATGACAAGGCTGTCCTCACGACCGTCTTGGTGACTCACAGACTTCTGGTGGATTCTCAAGAGAACCCTTTTAGTACAGCGGTCCACTGTGGCAGCCCACTTCCGCTTTGCCTCCTCATCCTCCTCCAGCAAGCACCGCCTCAGGTCCTGCTTCTCGGCCTTGCTCAGGGTCCTGTCTGAGGCAGGACGCACTAGCTGGGTCAGGTTCAGGTGGCTGTAGAGACTCCGCTCCACCACGTAGGTGACATTGAACTCGCTGACCGAGGCGCGCCCGCGCGCCCTCCTGCCGGGGAAGCCGCAGCCGCCTCCCCCTTTGGCCTTCTGCCGGGGCAGTGGCAGGTCGCATGTGGTACCGTTCACTCCTTTTCTGGAGGGACGCTGGCAGAGAAAAGCTCTGGAACAGGAATAATTAGTATCCGTTTTCTTCAAGCGGATTTGCTTGCGGACACTCTGAACCTCCTCCAGGGACACCAGGAAGTGGTGCCTACGGCGATGGTTGTCATAGAAGAAAACACCATCCGTACTTACCCCATGGCTCAGGGACCCGAGGCCCTTCTTCATCTCTCCCTCTGTAAGCGAGCGGGACACTTTCTGGGCCTTCTCTTCTTCTGGGTAGGAGAAAAATGTCCCCATCTTCTTAGGGGGTTTAATCAGACCCCGACCGTCTCCTTTGCTGAAGGTTTTGACCAACTTCCGGCCAGCTCCCCAGGTATCCAGGCTGCTGGATGACGGAGATGTGGTGAGCGAGTCAGTGTCATCGTCAGGAGGTTTCTCAGGGGAGCCATCGATGATAAGTGGCTTCTTATGCACTCCTGAATAAAGGGCAGCCCTCTCATCCAAGACGGGGGCATTCTCAAACACAAGCTCTTCCCCACCTGGAGGGAACCAAAAGAGTTCTCAAGTGAATAAACTTTTGCATTCTCCAACAGAACTGTCTTTACATTCTCTGCCCTGATAAAGATCAAGCAAGTCCCACAAAAACAACAGTGCCCTCTCTGTGCATATCACAAACCTCTTCATAAACATGACTCCCACTTAAATGTGCATGTAACTAAGAAAATAAACAAACTGGGCTAATGTATGTTTCACCCAAACAATATTAAAAGGCTGTAATGTGCTTGCTTCTCCTTCTATATATATAACGGTAAACTCAGCACCTTCAAAGATCTATTTAAAAAGGCATTTGCAAAGTGGACACCAGTCATTATTACGATATTCCTTAGCTCCAGTTTTTAGGTACAATCTGCAGAAGCTCAGAATCAGTCTTCCCCCTTCTGAAAGGCCCTCCTTTATGCTGGCTCTGGTGGCTGTTATAGTTGGCATGTGATGGATGCCATGTGGCTGACAGTGATTTTTTTTTTTATTAGTATGTATGCCATTTAAGTGAGTAAATCTCCAAGAGAGTCTGGGTGGGGAAACCCCCAGGGGTTAATATCTTGCAAATGTATCTGACAAATGTTCTCCAGTCCACGGGTCAAACACAAAAAGTGAGGGAACTGGGTGATCCCGACTAGATATTCCCACCAACTCAGACCCTGCCTGAAGCAGCAAGGGCATTTAAGGGCTCTGACACGCAGGCAGCTCCATGGAGTGTTCTACTTCCTCTCAAGGATTCCAGCTCTGTAAGTCTTCGCTGGAACCAGGTAGCAGCCAAGCCCTCCAGAGCCCAGTGGAAAGGCCTGCACTTACTGGCAGGAATACTGAGTTCTTTTCTGCCTGTGTTATGTGAACAGATGTCAGAAAAGAAGTAGGTCAAGCCGTGGGTGTAGTGATCCCAACTGGCTGCGTCCCCTTAGTTATAAGGAAACTTTGGAGCTTTGCAGCTTTCTACCAGCTGAATAGTGAAAAGGAAAAAATACAAAGTTCCTTGGAACAGAAAGACAGCATTAAACATAGCAAATGGAACAGGGGTGCCAGTGCGTGGGTAAATGTCAGAGAGAAAGGGCGAGGGGACAATGTAATCTGAATAATAGCAGTCCTTTAAAATTCAAAACTAACTCCCTCTTCCATTTGATGGGAAGTACAGTTAAAAATATACATTAAAAAAAAACAAAAACTGCTACTGATCCAACCCAAGATCAACTTCACATTCAAGTCCAGGAAACAGCAGTGGGAAAGGGAGGGAAGTGGAGGAGATTCAAACTGTGTCTGTCCTAAAGTACATTCAAGACTTGCTCAGGGGTCTTTTAGGAAAATTTAAAAGCAGGGTTCAAGGTCAGAGAAAATTTAGCCAGAGCATGTGAACAAGTATCATAAAAGCTTCTTTCTCTGTCCTTGGAATACCTAATACAGTATAGAGAGGAAACGTCCTAGTGTTGTTACAAGTAAAACTAGCAGCCTCTCCCAGAGTGCCTTAGGGAAATGCACTCCACTTCCAGGAAAAGTCAATGAATCAAGACCTGAGGTGCAGCCTGACTGCAAAGTTTTGGATCAAACCAGTCAAACATGGCCATGGCCCACGCCAAGCTAGGTGTCCCTGGGCACAGGTGAAGACCCTGAGTGACCCACCATCTTGAGGTCTGGTAGAGCTACACTGGACACACTAAGGACTCGTTACTCGGCAACAGTCGGGCCATTAGAGACTATGGGGTTGTCATCAGAGATTGCAATACCTCTGTGCTGCATTATATTCAAGTCTGGTATCAGCTGGGGCACACATATCCATAACATATGTGAGTCTGTTTTCTAGTTCTGCAAAGTTGGCACCTTGTAAGGAGTCTTCAGGGAAAGGTATCAAATGCACCTGAAGAGACTGAAGAGCCTGTGCCGAGCCCATGCTGAGGGATGTAGAGTTCTGGCTTCTGTAGATTTCTAACTAGTCACCCGAACTTTCAGCCTTGTCCTAGACTCCTGGGACTCAGGGCACTACTCTCCCCATCTTCCCTGGGCTCACAGACATAACTATCCCACTGGAGGAGCAGCCACGATATGCTTACTGCATCTCATTTGCTGAAATCAGTTTCACGAGAGGGCCTTTATATTATCATATGCAAGCACTCCAGTGGCGCAATCAGTGTGCAGTACTTATATTTTATCATATGCAGCTGGGATCAGAATACTGCAGGCAAAGTACTTCTGACCGGAGGAAATGGGATGACTTATTGCCAGAAACACAGCTTTGCACTCTGGATTCCAGCCCTGGCTGGGCCACTCACCAGCACCATGACCTTGGGCAATTACTTCTGCCTCTGAGTTTCATCTGAGATCATGCCTCCTTATCTTTATATAACATCCTCAACGTGGCTATTGTGAAGGCGACACTTCATGAAAAAGCCTGTGTAAGAGCTGGTGGTTCTTACCAGGTTAGAAGAGCTGGTGCACTCAGGAGAGGAGTTTTAATTCTAGGGACAAGGCACAGAAATAGACAGGTGCAGAGAGCCGACACGGCCTGAATTACATACAGCCCAGCTTCACTGTGGCAGTTACAGACTCAAAACTCAGGTGAGAAGGGTGAGGATGGATGAAGAACTATCACCATGTTGGCCTTCAAGCAGAGACACAGGATGTCCTGGGGCAGTCAAGCTGCCTGGACAGGATTCTGGGCCTTTTGCCGGCTGGCTGAGCAACACCAAGTAAATTATTTTGTCTCTTTGTGTCTGTTTCCTTCTTTGTGAATGAGGTTGGAGGAAGTGCCTGCCATTGGTAGGTATTCTGAGGATGGCATATTAAAACGAAGCATAAAACCTAAAGCGTTTAGGAAAGTGTTTGGCAAAAGGAATACGCTCAATAAATGGTAATTATTATTCAGACGACTCAGTTGGGCACAGCCTTGCAGGAAGTCAGTCCCAGAATCAAATCTCTGTGAATCCAAGGGCACTGGGGCAGAGGACTTGTTGGGACTATGAATCCTGACAGCTGTGGCAGTCTTTCCCATTCACTGGGTCTTTTGACAATAAAGAACCTCGGAGAGTTCCTTCATGCAGGGGTTGGAGAGGGTTATAGTCCAGCAGGGTATCCAGGCATGGCACAAAACAGACACCCTGAGCTACACACACACCTGGGGACAAGCCAGCCAGTGGCTGCCCAGTTCCCAACTCATCAGACCCTGGAGTTTGGTCTGCAACTTGAACTCAACCAAGTCCATTTTCCATCCATGATGCCTAATTTATATCCAAAATCTAGTGATTATTTCTACTTTTAAATGATCTCTTTTGCTATATTTTTTCCATTTTTTTTTTTTCCCAAGGAGGCCTCTCAGGGATATTGGGCTTAATTTATTCTGGCATAATTATGCAAATGAGGGTATTTCTGCATGTTTACAGCACTACTCTTGTGCAAAGGCTGCCCCAACACACTTGACTATCACGTGTGAAGGGCCTCCTGGGCAGTGGGCCCAGGACTGGGTAGCAGGCCCATTTTATCTCATTTATAGACAAAGCCCACCAATCTACTTGTTATAGCTGAGATTTGATTTTGGCAAGTACGTGTGAAGTTTGTTTTCAAATGTGCACTCAAGGATGAATGTTGGCAGTTGCGTGTGGTTCTCCCAACAGTTCCAACTGGCACTCTGTGCATGATTTCGTTAAGACCCGATGCGGGAGGAGAAAACCAGGGTGCATCCTGCAGTATGGATAGCACGGGTGACAAGCAGGTAGTAATCCATGTGTAAAATCACTGCACTCAAAATAAACCAAATTGCCATGCAAAAAGACATCCAAATGCAACGCTGGAATTCAGACAACTCCAAGTTATGACATAAGCCGTAAGACCCAGCTCACCTCACCAGCCTCCCCTTTTCCCCTTCTAAACCTCATCGTTGCTGTCATCTCCTCACCTTCAATATTATTTTAGAAGATTTAAACCAACTAATAATTACAAACACGAAAGTGTAATAACCAAAACCCTTATCTTGACACAGGAGGGAAAATTCAGTTCTCTATATAGCTTGGCTTGATTTATAAAGAATAAAAGAGCCTCTATAAAAATAATTTTAAAACTCCTAAGTTAAAAACTTGAAATTCCTCACAATGAAGATGTAACATTTTAACAAAAAAGTTTTTTAAGGTATAGTCTTTCCTGTACTTTTTTTCTAATTTGCTTATTATCATTTTCCAAACAAAAAAATGTTACTCCTTTCATTGGTCTTTTTAGGAAAATTTTATACAATGCTTCAAATAAATATTACTTAAAAGGGGAAAAAAATAAAAGTTGAGATTTAAAAGGTCTTAACCGCAATTCCAAGGTTACCTATTCATTACAGTGAATCCCGGCTGATGCCTCTTTTGACATTACTGTTTCACATTTGCAGCCAGCAACACAGCTACTAAAGATTCCCTTAGAATTGAAGGTCTTTAAAGCTCCATTTGAATTGAATTTGAGATTATTTATGAGAAAACAAAGCATGCTTCCAGGATTTGAAGGGATATTAAATGACTCAACTGTAAGATGTTTGTTCAAGATGGATATCCTGCATATCGAATTCATACTAAACTCACTGAGCAAGGACTACAGACCTTTTCAGAGTTACAGGCTTATACTAAGAAGTTATAAAGTTCATATAAAATACAACAAACTCGTAACTTTAGCTAGAACCCACTTGAGATTTCACAGCCACATACTCCCCTTTATCCGTCTTTATCATGTTAATTACCAAGCACCCAAATGCTTAACTCCAGATCCTTGTTTTACAACACACCGAGTTTCCCTGTGCTAATGTACAGAAAAAATTTCGTCAGCTGCTGCCAAAACTCAATACATTTTCCACTTGAAATCATGTTCATTTTCTACTGAAAAACAGACCCCGAGTGATTGCTTTTGGAATGACCAGGATGGAGTTAGTTGGCTTTTTTACCTTCAGTGCTGGGCTTTTTCATTTCTTCCACCCTAATTAGTTTCTTTCGGACTCTGCGAGTGGAATTCACCAGCTTGTGTAACCTCTTAAACTTCACCGACTCCTCAGTCTCATCATCCGATTGTTCTCTTGACTGGCAAAGAAACAGAGGAAAAGTTAATCCGGTGACTGCTCCAAGCCTTGCCCTGGGAGCTGGGTGCAGCTGGCCTCTCTGCCAATTTGATCTCACTCAACAGCGAGGTCAATGAACTCGGCCCAGCAACATATTTGCCCAACAGTTTCACAAAGTTCCCCTTCTCATCTTAAGGTCCAATTCAGTGCAGAGTGAAGTCCCAGGCACAAAAGCCTCATCTTTGCCCTTGACTGGCATGTAGGCATTTGTCACGTAGGTCCCTGAATCTTTTAAGACAACTCCGTGAGACTCTCACTCTGAGCTGGCCCTGTCATTCCAGTTACACTGCTGTGGTTTGGGCCAAGCTCTCCTCTGTCTGGATGCTGAACGTGGTCATCAACTACTTCTCCAAACCAAAATTCTGTTGACTTTTTCCAGTCCTCTCCTGAAAATCAAAACCAGCAGGCAAAAAAGGCAGAAGGATATAAAAAAGGCTTCTCCTGCCCCATTTGTTAGGACTGCCTGCCACATCACAGCCTTCCCTTCCCTTCCCTCACTCAGAGGGCTCCCAAGGCGAATGTGAGGACAGCCCCACATTCCTCCAAGGGGGACAAGGGAAAAAGCTGACCTTTCAGCCATATAGTTCAGTCCATATTCCCTAGCATCCCATTCCATCCTGAAGCAATTCAAGTATGCTCTGGCCCAGCTGTTTTCCCTCAAGTATCAAACATTACAGAGAGAGGGGAAAAAAATCTCTCTCTGCAGCAAAGACCCAGGCTAAAAACAATCCTTTCCTTGTGAACAAAATGAGTGTTTCGTTTCCAAGTCAGCTACAACATTCAATATGCAGCTTCCTCTGGAGTATCTATGCAAAATGTGGAAAAGCAAAAGAAGTTTCCTTCTGAATGTGCGTGCTGCCCAGGGGCTGGGTGCTTGGCCCAGCAGTATGGGAGCGTGCATCTTTGGCACACCCTGTGAAGCCAAGCACTTCCAGCTGATTGTGCACATCCCAACAACCTCTCACCATGTCCTCAAGCCTAGTTCATGAAATAGCAGGGAAAGAAATGACTCAAACTAAAAAGCAAAATAACAACAAACCACATCTCCAAATATGAGCCCCACAATGAGACGTTTCTCCCCAGAGCAAGTTCTCATTAATCCCAAGTTTATAGATAATAAAATGGGTATGCCAGAGTTAGCAAAGAATAGTCCAAAAGAGGAGCGGTAGAGACCATTCTAATAACTTAGGCATAAAAATGGTGCGCACTGTGAGGGACCAATTATTTTAACTCTATGCCTTTCTTCAAGGGATAAACACAACTTGCTTCCTGGCCACTCTCTCACTGCAGGTAGTGCTTGTCCTTTCTTCCAGTGCGACCACAAGCAACCACTCACCCACTAACGATTTTCATAAATGTATCAACAAGCCATCAGTATTTCTCAGTCTTCCCTTCTGGGAATACATGGATAGCTACACCCAAATTCTGTAAAATTCCTACCTAACATGTTGTATTACAGATTTCAGAATTAACCACTGGCTACCTGGTAAAGAAAAATGAAACTGGGGCTTCAAGTAACAGAGGAGGGATGTTGACAATTAGGCTGAGTGCATTTGGGTAAAACTTAAAAGGTAAATAAATAAAATAAGCAGAGCTCCAAATACATAATAGTACGTCTGGTTTGAATTTCACTTTTACTTGTCTGAATTGTTGATTTGTTAAAAAATGAAATGGTAGGGTGGTCAACCAGAGGAATGAGACCTCGGTTAACCCTCATTCTGGGTAATCAGCACCTGAATAACCCACAGTGCATACAATTACATGTAAACGTTTAAAAACACTGCACCCTCTGGATGCAGCTTGAATGCAAAATAATCATAACAGAAGGATCAGCCTTGTATTACAGAGTCTCAGTACCTAGCAATGAGAAAAACCGAGGGTATGTCTCTAACCTCACGTTAAGAGCTCTGAAGTTAGGTGCAAATTAATGAGCGCTGAATTTTGCAATCAGGATACAGCAGGCTATGTCATAGGATACGTCTCCGTGACGTAGAATGCTGAACTTATTGGGGTTTTTTTTGTGTGGTGAAGGGAGAGGGTGTTGAAGAATTGAAAAGAAATGGAATATAGAAATGAGTAATGCAAAAGTGTTAGCTTATAAAACGCAAAGCACTTGTGGAAAAGGTGCATTCGAGCAACTTTCCACAGAAAAATCAAAACAGACACCAGGATGAGAGGCATAAAGGCAGTGTCCCTCACAAAGCCCTCCTTGCCTCTGCCCAAATTCACTGTGGTGAAATATAACAGAGTCCAGCTACTTATTTAATTGCTTTCACATGTTCTATTTACTTTTTGAGAAATGTGAGCTATTCAGAGCTTTGAACTGATGTTATTTCTATTTTTCTTTTTAAAATGAAGATTTTGGAGGTGTTTGCTTTGACAAGTCACAAAACATGGCAACGAAGAACTTCTCTTGTATTACTGTGCTTCAGACAGTCCGCAAGGCTGAGGCAGCACCATTTAAAGGAAGATGAAACCCAAGTCATTCAAGAAATACATATATATGTTTTTCAAAATAAAAAATTTCCTCTTAGGTTACTTGAGTTCAACCATGTAGCCCAAGGATGCTTTTCATTGAAGGAGAAGTGTTGACTTCATACTTCCTTCTGAGGTTGGAAGAAAGAGTTGTGAAATACTTGCCTTTAAAAGTTCTCCCCAGCTGTTTTAACATAAAGTTGCTGTAAAAGGCTACATTTCTTCTATACTAGGCAGTAAAGTAGAAATGCTTCATGTCATGTTTCTCTTTTCAAATAACCATGTGGCACTTTCTACCCACTGAAAAATAGTATAACATTGTCTTTTTTTTTTTTTAAGGAAATAACTACAAAGGAAGGAAGCCTGAGAATTTTTTATGACATAGTTTTAAAAGTATAGAATTTTTCAATAAAATACTGCAAATATTTTTAAAAACAGTCTTTCCACCTAAAAGAACTCTGTAGAAGAGAAAGAAACAATGCATTGCATGTAAAATAAGACTCCATGAAACCAGTTCTGAACTATCAGAGAACAGCTTTTAAATAAACCAAAGTGGGAAAATAAAAGTATATTTCACATGTACTCAAATATGAGAGGCTGAGCAAGACATTACTAAAGTTTACTAAAATGTACTTTAATTTGACTGCCTGTAAACCATAAGCTGAACTCAATAATCTGTATCCCCCAAACTTTCAAGAGAAAAAGGATGTGGAAAGTGGCTTTACAACACTGTAAATAGAAACATTTGATTTCCAGCCACTCCGCTGCAGATTTTTTTCCACCAGAAAGCCCATATGGCTCAACTTTTAATTACTTTGGCTAATGCTATATGTAGTAATTCTGTGGTGAATGCTTAAGTGTTTCATTTCTGGTTTCCATAGCAACATTACATCAGATTGCAGACAGCTGGCTCCACAGTTTTAAACCATAACAAATTGACCAAGCCAAGGCACAAAACTATAGCTGCTTTAAAGAGATAGCACACCATTTGGCTGCCAGGTTCTGAATGGGAAACCTACGGGCCATTTGGCATGAGAGAGAGGGTGGAGCCTCCTTCCTCTCCAGCTTCTTTTGGAACAAGTGCATCCTTGACACATCTGCAGTGTTCTAATGAGAAAGTCATGGAGCCAGCGTGGAGAACTTTTTGTAAGACAGTTACATGTGAGAGGATTAGAAAAAGGGAACGAAGTTAATCACATCTGTAAATACTAAGATCTGTGTGCTAGAGCACACTCCCAGCTTGGTGAGAACCTGCCATGCTGTCTGAAACAGATACTTCGCTCAACCTGATCACAAACTGTTCTTGCAACTGGGATGTGCAGAATAAACTTTCCAAAAGTCACACGGCTGTGTCCGCACAATCATAATGAGTCTGATGGGTGGAATAAAGGTTAACCCAAAATTGCAAGGGGCAACTAGAACTTTTGGGGACTGCTTGAGACCATGCTGAGTGCAAGATTACAGCAGCGCCCTTTGCAGAATCACTTGCTAAGCTTGCTTCCCCAGCTCCAAACCCACAATGCACTGTCATAATTAAGTGCTCTTATCTCTCCCAGTGCCACACAGCAGTATAAGTACTTCTGAAAATATTTTTCTATTGCAAATGTACTTGCTTGAGAAAAATCACAATGCTTCCTTCTTTAACCCAGCATGTAATCAGACATCAATTCTTCAACTTTTTAGAAGTTTTACACAGCAGAGAAGGAAGCCATCAGTTGTAGTCTTACAAAAAATTAGGTGTGGTACTGTCTGAATTCAAGTACCCCATGTGAAAACCCAGCACAACTCACAACTGAGCTCTAACCCACTGTCCTCAAAAACAGTATTTAACCTTCCCCTCAAAAAACTGCATGGTTCCTGGGTGAGCCTGCTGGGCAAGAATGCTCAGAGTGGTGGGGAAGGCAGAGAGGAAAAGGAAAAACTCTAGAGAAATTCAAAGAGGAAAAAGAAAGAGAGAGAGAGAGAGAGAGAGAGAGAGAGAGAGAGAGAGAGAGAGAGAGAGAGAGGTATCAGAAGCAGGAGCAAGCAGAAAGCTTATTCTCAAAGCAACAAAAAAGTTTTCCTTTCCCATGAAATACATGCAGTGACTTACCGGCTTCGGCATTTAGCAGGCGTAAGGGGGGGCAGCTGTGAAAAGGTCCGGTACCCCCACCCCTCCCCACTCTAAGTGCCTCTCGCTCTGATCTGTCAACTCCACGATGGCAAAGTCAGGATCAGGCACTCCTCAAACATGTTCTCAGCAGTTACATGATCAGGCAGGCTCCGCCGTCACAGCCCAGCATCCAAAGGAGAAGAAAGTGAAGACACTGGATTCAATTAGCCACTCTCTGCCTGCTGCCTGACTGCACAGTCGCTTGCTAACTGCATAACTTGTAAGAAAGGCATAAGTCATCAGCTCTAAGCAAATCTCCTATTCACCACAAGGAAAAAAGGGAGTGTTGTGCATGGCCAACAATCCCTGTTTTCACTGAGGAAGGCTCCCTGACCTCCTGCTGGCCTCCAGTTCCTTAATTACTGTCTATGGAATTCCACAGAAAAGAAAGAAAGAAAGAACGAAAAAACGCGAGAATCTGAACAAATCCAGGACAAGGACTCACCCTTGAAAGTGACTAAACTTAGCAAAAGATCTCTTTTGCAGATACTCCTCTAAACCTTCCCTTATGGGAGTAGTCGCAATTGAAAACAGACACCTTCCAGGGGCTATTTTTGAATTAAAACTTATGATTTTGGTTTTCTCCTAGAATTGTCTCTTTTTTACCTCACTTTCTCTTTCCCTACTTCTTTTTCTATTTTAACCACAAAAGTAAATGTAGGATATTTTCCCGTCACTGGGTCTTCCAAAACTGTCTTCTTTAATTGTTTCAGGACAGCTGAGTTCTCTTGGATTCTAAAACATAAGCATGAGGACCATGTCACAAGATGATCATTTAATTTTCTCAGGGGTCTCCGGGGAGCACTGGCACATGCTGTTATTTAAACAGAACATTTCTAAACAAGACAAGACTGGAAACCGTACAAAGTCTCCATGACATGGGCTGCAAGGCATGTCTGTCTTTCTAAAGGTAAACTCATCCAGCAGGTAAGCTGGTTATTCCCATGGTGCAGTCTGAGCTGCTGGCTCCTAGATGGTATCTGTCTGTCCCACTGTGGGGGCCTTTATGCATTTGTGTAAGGACTTAGCTCCTTGGGGACATCACATAACACCAATAAAATACCTAGCTATGCAGGACCCACCAATGACTACTGTCCCTTCCAGAAATAGCAGGTTTTATTTGGAGGCGGTCTGCAGGTTCCCTAAACTGAAAACAAAAGAGAGGCCAGAACGCAGAGCTCCCAAGTAGAAGGTTATGTTTTACCATGCAGAGATCCAGGTCCAGCAGCAGGCTCTCCTGCCCTCCTGAGCACCTGGCCCCTGGCTCTGCTTCCTTGGTTCCCTGGCATTTCATTCTTTGTGGAAAATGGCATCAGTCTTGCAGTCTGCTGCCCTAGAAGTTTTTCCTCCCACACTTCATAAAAATTTCTTCTTTTCTTCCACAAGGCTGGCCACAACTTCCCTGAACTACCTACTTCCCCTTATGACAATCGGAATCTCCCACAAGATCTCTGGTTTCAGACTACCCTTTTCCCACGCATACTGCAAACTGTGGCAGGTGCTCTTCCGAGATGATGCTTCCAACTCTGTTTATCAAATGCACCAGGGTCGCATGCTGTGTGAAGTACTGACATGCATGCCTCACGCACTGACTTGGCTCTTTCCCAGCCCTACGCTACCTCGACAGGACTGACACCTGCGATGCACTGTTAGCCCAGACTCCTTAAAACTGGCAGTTCTCACCTGCACTTCCCAGGTACATGGGGAAACTAAGAAAACAAGAATGTCCCCAGAGAGTGGAAAAGGGGAAGATTAGCCTAAGGCCTCTGAAGTCAGAAAAGCCAGGTCCTCCAGCAAGTCACCTGTTCTAGCGGTTCTAGGATTTCTACCTATGAGTTGGTATGATGACATTTATCTTAATGCACTGTTGATTTTTAAACTGCATGCATAGCAAGATGGATGTGACAGTACATGCCCATCATGCCAGTGTTCTGGAAGGCTGAGACAGGAGGATTATAAACTGAAGTGCCCACCCTGGGCAACTTAGTGAAGTCCACTCTCAGAATGGAAATAAAATAAGACAGGTAGGGGATGTAGTTCAGTGTGATGGCCCGGGATTCAATCAACAATGCTGACCCCAAAAAACGTAAAAATAAAAAAACTGCACGTACATAATCAACACTTAAGAGTTCAGTGGTGCTGATTACCTCTGCCTGCTGGTTACCAACTGAAGTCCACCTTAATCTTTAGAAACTGATCTCTTAGGTGTTATGGAAATAGTAAGACTAAGGAAAGCTTCTCATGTGAAGCCAGAGACATGTGACATTTAAGGCTGGGTGCCCCAGGTTGCAGAGCAGACTGAGAGGACTAGAAGCCAGGAGGAATGTGGGTTCAGATCCCTGTGTGCCCCTGGGAACAGTCTATGGCCTTGGGCTCTTGGGAGACTGAAAGGAGATGTCACCTGTGAAGGCTGGTGCCTGGTAGCCAGAAAAACCCCAGAGCAGTGTGAGAGGCCGAGGACTTTGGATAAAAATTTACAAAGGGGTGGAAGGATGCTTCCTTTCAATGTCACTGCCACCACCTTTCAAGGATGATTCTTTGGGGATTTACTGAACTATTCAATGTGGGGCTCTGTGTGGGGACTCAACATGGACTTGTCTTTTAGAAGACAGAATACCCCCCAGGAATACAGGCCTGATCTATTCACTGTGCCCCGTATCAGTGCCTGCCCCTAACAGACCCTCAGGTAGTATCTGTGTAATTGGTATGAAATGAACTTTAGAACTCTTAGCTGGGTAGCTCTCAGCCCTTGACTGGTGTCTGAGTGCAATGCGGGGAATTTGAAAATGAAAGTTAGCCAGGTCATCCTGGGAAAGTTCTTGTCTCATCCTTCAGGAGTGGACTTTAATCTACTCTACACACAGTAGGTGTGCACAGTGGCTCAAATGTACAGATTTGAACATGTGACTTCCTTGTTCAGCAACTAACTGTTCTCTAGGTCCTTATAGCATGGGTCACAGGCTTTGCCATGGGATGTGACTTTGTGTGGTCAGCTCTCTTCTCTGTCTGTCCTGCCCTGCTGTGTGAAAAGTCTTTCAGGGCACCTGGCTCTCTCCCACCTCCTCACACAGCCCATCTTCCTGTTGTGGGCCCATCACTGCCCTGCCGGCTCTGCTGCTCGGAAGAGTTCTGCCCCTGCATCATGAAGCCTCCCTCCTTCAGGCTTTGTGGCTGCACAGCAAGAGGTTTCACCAAGGCCTTGGGCACACGCGCTGTCACTGTCACCGGCTTCTCACTGAGCTTCATGGGGACAATGAACATGGTGATAGTATTTCCTGTGACACTTCTAAGTGGCACTTATTATCTACTTCTGATTGCATATGATGGGTATTTGTTTGTTTTGAAGTGCTGGTGATTGAACCCTTGGCCTTTGCACTGAGCTACATTACCAGCCCATTTTTTATTTTTATTTTGAGGAAAGATCTGAGTCGCTAAATTGCCCAAGGTAGACGTAAATCCTCCTGCCTCAGCCTTCCAGAATTCCAGAATACATGATACATATTTAATTATTAAAACTTTGAACAATGAAGGATATACAAAGGAGAAAGAGAAATCACCTATGCTTGCCACAGTCAGAAAAGTTAGCAATATTTTTATTTATGTGTCCTCCCATTTCCCAACACACATACACACAGTGTATCTTTTTGTTTTTATACAATAAAGCTGACAATTGACCTTTACCTGCCCCATTTTCACTGTCACTATCACTGTCCCCAAAAGCTCCTTCAAATGAACACAGGCTCAAGTGAAACAATATCCCTGCCCATAACTGTGACTCTTCCTTAAGATTGCTGCTGTCAATAAAGATTTCCTTTAAAGAAAACCTGGAGCTCTCCATTTAAAATGCCCAAATGGTTTTAAAACCTCCTTCTTAAAATTAACATGTTTTGAACATGTTCCCATGTCAACAAAATACAACAATATAATAACAACCCACAGTATTCCCTTATAGAACTGTTTACTCACATATGCACACTGGTCACCGTACATTTCCAGGTGTCCATCCAATACACACTTTGTGACAAAATTTCTGGCATGCTTTACACATTTTTAGAAAGATAATTGGATTATAGAATTAATGAGTAAAAGCTTATCTTTAAGACCTCCACTACACAGTAATAACCTGACCTGAGGACTGGTTTGATTTTAAAATCTCCCAAGTGATGGGGGGGGGGGGGCTATTTCCTCCTGCTATTACCAACCCTGAACTTTGCCATATTCATTTCTACTTAGATAATAAAAATGAGTTTCTATGATATTTCCTGACTAGAATCACTGAATGAATATACTAATTCAAAAGGGACACAAAAACATGAATGAGCTGCATTCCCTAGATTTACAAAGGATACAGTGGAGAGTGGAAGGGTGGTGAGAGCCCCAGAGAGCCTCAGAGATATGATTCCTAGAAGTCACTTGTGATGACTGCACAGGGATCCATATATGGGACAACTCATTTGGCTTGGGGAAACTGAGACAGGCCTCAGTAAGGGGAATGTTCTGGGATCTTTTCATGTTTCTAAGTAAACCTACAGTTCCAGTGTTTTGGACAGTCCAGAGGCCCCATTTCTTTCCGTCACCTCTGATCTTGGATGCTCTCCTATCTACTCTTGCACAGAAGAGCCCAGCTGAAGCCCTTGCCCTTTAACAGCACTCAGCACAGTCAGCAGCTCCTGGCCCGCTCCTTCTCCAAGCCGGGTTTCATAACCTCTCCAGCGATTCTGATCTCCCTCCACTACCCAAGAAGTAATCGGTCCAAGGTCCGTCCCTACCCTGAGGACAGCACCAGGCGTTGCTCTTGGTGTTTACAAAAACTTTCACTGTATTTAAAGAAGTCACATTTAGTTAGAAATGTGTAACTATATAAAATATAAAACACATTTTGGGGATTTTGTTCCTTTCTCTTTTATCACAAAGAAGTCAGGGTAGGAAACTCATCTGTTTAGTAAGAAATATTTTGCTCATTAGATGGTGACATCATTGCCCTCTGAATTTGGGAATTTTTTGTCAGCATATGGGGGGAAAAAAAGATGAGATTCCACTCTTGTCCCAGAGGTACAGTGTAACATGGAAATAATCTCCCTGGCAGCTTCAAAATTAACTAGTTGCTGCCAGTGGTGGTAATGGAGGAGGGTAGGGGTGGGGGGAGGGAGAGGGAGGAGGAGGAGATAATTATAGAGATTTCTACTTGGAAAAAGTATGTGAGAATTTGAGGTAAAATTACCATCCCCTTGGGGCAGAGGCTTGTCAGCACTTAATTTGCCTAAGAAACTTTAAATATTAACAACAAACCCAAAAGGAGCAGCAAATGGATGTTACTTTCCATAATAAACTCGATTCTGTTTCTTAAACTCATAAATACATAACTGCTTTTAACGACCCCAAATAAAGTTGCTATTTTTACCAAAAGGAGGAAGGAGACAACAGAAGACCTCAGGATTGCTGCCACCAATCTACAGCGACCTTTAGAACATGGGTGAGCCCACCCGCCCCACACATGCAAGTTCCTCTGAAGCAGAGAAAATGCCTTCCCTGCTTCCCAAAGGGCTGGGAGGGGGTGAGAAGAGAGGACTGAATTCCTTGCTTTCTGCATATCTCTGGGAGATTTTTCTGCATGGGATTATGTCACCCTCCCCAAAGGTCAGGGAACCAGCTGTTCATATATGAAATAGGCTAAAATCACAAAGCCAAGGTGGCAAGCAGTGCTGGGAAGTCAGCTCTACTGATTCCTTGTTAGGTTGGGGTGATGGTCCCCAAAGCAAATCTACGGGCCAAGGCACCCAGACCCCAAGCTCTTCTGTCCCTAGGGCCATGGACTCTCACACAGCCCTGTGCCACGGGGAGGGGATGACTCAGAACAGCACTGCCAAGTAGGGCAATTACACATGCGTTGGGTTGGAAGCTCCAGCTTCTGGAGCCAATGAAGTCTCCTTGGGGACTGGGTGGTGCTGCAGTCACATTACTTTTATGGCTTCTCAGATCAACTGACTCATGGATCAGGCTCAATGACTTCTTGGATAGGGCTGCCAAACAAATCAGTCTAGGAGAAAGGCAACATAGAAATGTAGAGAACTGACCAAGGGGGCCAGATGGCTATGCAGGAAAAGTGAGGACCCCAAGTGGCTTCCTCCAACCAAAATTATGTCACCCCGCCAGCAGTCAGCTGTCAAGGCTGGAGCAGGTGGGCCTGCAGGCACTCCTAGAGTAATGACCTGCAACCTCACCCTGATTCTCCTTCTGTCTGTAGAATGGATGACAAATTTACTTTACGTCTGAAACTGCAAAATCTGGGCTGAATCTACTTTCAAAAAGAAAGTATTTAATGTTGGGAAGGCTATTTGTGGCTATCTTACTGGTAAAACTACCAGGTCACAATGTCTGCTGAACACTGAACCACATAATATCCTTTTCACAACAACTAACAAAATAAATGGCCCCTCCTCAAAAAAACAATAGCTAAAATTTAGCAAAAAATTCCACCAACAGGCAAACAAGGAAGGTACACATCAAAAGTATTAACAATTTAAAACTGCATGATCAAGGTAAGAAACACATTTCTGAAGGACTTCCTTTCTCCAAAAACCACACTGGCAAAAATCCAAGCATTCTTTCATATAACCCCAAATCTGGAAGGAAGCAAAGCAAACTGCATAGGCTTTTTGTCTTTTTTCTGAATCAGAAGCAATGGAAATAGTTACTACAGAACAACAAGTGCAAGGAGAGGAAGTCAGTAGTGAAGTTGATCCTGATTA